AGTAACGACAAAAACAAAAACAACAACAACGGTCGAGGCAAAAACACGATAAATTAGCTTAATCAGCACTTGGGTACCTCTGCTGGCGTCGCAGTCGCAGTCGGTGTTCAGGCGCTTCGAAAAAAACAAAAAAAAGCACTGCCTACTTTTGGGCAATGTTAGTTATTATTTGGATTTATGTGAGCCTCCTTTTTAGAATCCTATTTCTTTGCTTTTATACCTGGTACTTAAAATATATTTTAAGAGAATGCATTACTTTTTGTGGGATCAATTTTTAATATTTCCTTTTTTTTAAGATATCTAATTAATTACGTTTTAAAATTATTTAAAAAAAACGCTTTACATGACTATAAAATATTTAATTTCCAAAATAATTAAGTTTGGAAATAGATACCAATCTTAAAGATATAGTTACATCGGGAATATTACTACTATATATTAAGCTTCCAAATATTTATAGTCTAGTAACACATTTTCCTAAAATCTAACCTTATTTAAAAAAGTATTTCTTCTATTTTTCTTTACATATTTAGCCACTGGAAACTAATTATACCCAAAGTAATCGTTCAAGTACCAGGTAAGTTTAAAATTTGTAGGCGGTTAGTTCGATTTTATGTCATCATCATTGCTGTTGTTCATCAATCCCCTATGTACAGTCCTGCTTGCTCTAACACACACACACACACCAAACACCCACACACAGGCATTTTAATTTCGCACACACACACGCACACTTATCCCTGTTGGTTATGTTGGAAATGAGAAACTTATCTCGTTTAACAAACACTTTGCAGTACCGCCAATTAACAAGCAGAATCCAAACAGCAGGCACCGTAAGATATCCAACTAACACTGCTCCACCAGCTGCTCACTTGCGACAATTGTCAAGGAGCCAGGATTGTATCTCCTTCGGGACCCGGATCCGCCCCATTCACATTCGAGGTCCGTCAAATTGCCAGCGGAACTGCTCCTATGCCAGTTTAGGCAAAATGCAGGACACGCCCAGCCAAGATGCACGGTCCCCGGATCTGCTCAAGTCCTTTGAGAGGGACTATTGCGACCTGCCGCCCTACCAAGTAAGTACACTGAACAAAACAGTCCAGGAAGACATCTGAATTTGAAGAGAATTCAAACACAAAGTGAATGTTTTTCTATATTTAAAAAGGGATTGTACTAAAAGAAATAGGAAACTCTATAATTGCAGTTTAATTTAATGTCAAATTATTTAATAAATTTCTATAAATATTTTTAGCACTGCATTAAAAGTGTGTGGGGGAGGGACTTTGGGATCCCGAGACAGCAGCATATCAATCAGTTGCAGCAAAACTCATTAAACTTGTGCCAATTGTGTCAGTCAAAAGAGGTTGGCCAGAGTTGCCATCCCCACTACCCTTCTTTTTATTTGTTTCTAGTATATTGTTTTTGTTCCACAAGAACTTTGATTGCTTTGCCTGCACTGCACTGCCTGCGTTCTCAATTTCTTCTCATCATGCCCCATTCCCATCCCCATTCCTCCATATTTTCATTTTCAATCTTCCCGGTTTATAATCCCAGCGTGTGTATATGCGTGTTTGTGCGTGTGTGTGGGGGGGGAGGGGTGTATATAAGACCTGCTTATTAACTAGCCAATTTTCTATTCTCCTTTTCTTTCAGTGCGACATGAGTGATTCTGCACCCAACACCCCAGGGCCCTGCTCAGCATCGACCCTGCCCAAAAAGTATTACCGCCATGCGGCCCACAGGTGAGTTCATGAAAGCCATTTTTGGGGTTTGTTTTGTAATAGGTCGTGGTTTATATGGGTGTTATTTATGGGTGGCAAACTATATCAGATGTTACGCATAGTTCCCCAATATTTGTCTCAGTGTATGCCATATTTCCCCCCAAAGAAAAAATTTAAAAAGTGAGGTATACAGAGTGAGAGAGAGAGAGTCCATTCCACGGTCAATGGCAAGTGCGAAGCGCTTTTCCACCACAACCTTATCGTCTTATCTCGCACCGAAAACAACAACAACCGTAAAAACATCCACTAGCTAGTTAATCCACACGAACCGGCGACTGTCGGCTTGACAACCTGACGTTGCTAGCGCCGCCCCATTAAATCAAGGGTATATTAGTTGTCTTTAAGGTTTCTTTTTCTTTTAGAAAATATAACATTAAAAAAAACATCTCCCACATGGCGTATGAGTGATATGAATTTAAATTATTTAAATATAATGAAATAAAAACTCTATGGAAATGTATAAACAAACCGTTTAAAAAATATTACATTTTTTAGAAAATATATCATTAAAAATGAAAATTCTGAAGGCAAGCTTACGTGGCGTATGAGTGATGTGTCTTTAAATTATAAAAGAATGAGATAGAAATTCTATAAAAATATTGTTAAAAAAAAGTTTAAAAAAATAGTATTCCTTGGGAAAGTAAAATTTATTTAATTTATATATTTTAGAGGGTATGCAGCTTGTCTAGTCATTACTATGCACCCTCTCTCTTCTCTTTTGCCATTTTTGTTTCTGCTGATTACAATATTCTGTGACGCTGCCCATTATCACCCGGTTTTTAGTGGCCCCCAAGCCTTTAAGAGGAGGCTGAAAGAGGTAGGTGGGGCAGAGGGGCAACCTGAATTGCTTGTTAGGCGTAGATGCAAGTGAGTGGGCACTTTGAGGCACTCGAGTGTCAACTGCAACTGCAGACACGTACTGGCAAGTGTGTGCGTTTATCTGTTGTTGTTTTTGTTTTACACATACATATATATGTATATGTATATTTTATTTTATTTTTTTCATTGACATTGACACGCTGCAAAGTGCAAAAGAGAGAGGGCTATAGATTCCCATAATATTTAACTCTGGATTTGTCCACGACTCGAAAAGGTGTGAAGTGAGTGGGCAGAAAAAAGGTCGGTGCTCTGTTTGCTTATATAATACCCAACCAAAGTGATCGATAACGATCCCCATCTCTATATCTCTCTCTCTCTCTCAAGAGAGAGATGAAATATGGAATGTGTGTGCCGGGCAAATGAATATGCAAATGGCTGATGAAATATTTATGAACTCGCCGCTCCCATCGCCATTATAATTGGGCCCATAATTAATGCATGACCATAATATCCACAGAAACGTAGACCATATCATGCTGCTGCTGTCACTCTGAAGGTGTTGCTGATATTTGCATATCAAAAACTATATATAAATACATATATGTTTGTATATATACATACATATATATGTATCCAGATGAAGACCAAATTTATGGCCTGTCAATAGACAGGTGGCAAGTGGAGAGCATTCAATTTATAATCTCTGCGGTATCTCTTTGCTAGCGAAAACTTATGAAAAATTCCATTTAGCCATGTCGCGAACCCCCACGCATTTAAAGGTACACTGGAAAAATAAAGTATAATAATGTAAAACATTACAGAGGTGCCGCCTAGTAGACTTGGGCTCAAATCGTTGTGTTTTAATACAAATTTATAATTAAGAAAATCACAATGTCTTCTGAAAAAAATGTATAAAACAATTTATTATTGTTTATAATTACTTATTATTATTAATATAATTCATTTTCGTTTTCCATTTCCTAAAATTAATTTAAGACTAAATAGATAATAGATTTGCATTTCGAATTTTAACTATTTATTATTTTTTAACTTATACATATACATAGGCATTTTTCGCCGTGTATTTAACTCAATGGGACTTGTTGAATGACTGAGGGATTGTGGGCCGTATTGCCATAAATAGTAAGAGCGTGCCACATAAAACAGTGGACAAACTGGGCTATAAAAATATGAATTTGTAAGTTTAGAGTCCCCTAGCAGGATTGTAACTTAACTGATAACAATACATTATTCTTTAGTTACTAGTTTTAAAAAAGGTTTTATTAAACAGTGTCACAATATTGCTAAAAATCAAACACTTTATGGTTTATAAACACCAATATTACCATAACTCTCATTTTTTTAACTGTTTGATATACAAATTCATGAACATTCCGCGTTGTTAGAGACAATTGTATGTCAATAGGTAGGTGGCAAGTGGAGAGCATTAATTGTATCAATTCCCAATAAATTATTTCCAAGAAAACTATAATTCCCAAGTTGAAAGTTGGTGATGATGGACTTAAGTAAAATTATATTTTTTGTAAATTTCCCAATTCCTAATATATTAATTCCAATTCCCAAGTGGAAAGTTAGATGCTATTTCTTAAGATACAATTACAGATATTTGCATTTTTATCGCCAAATCCGTTGCTATTTTCCCAACCGCCGCTGTGTGCGTGCGTGTATTGATATGGTTTGTATGTACATAATTTCATTTCTTCGCCGCTTTCCAAGCATTTTCTGTCTGACACACTAAAATTTCCATGCGCACAAGTGGGTGTAACGGTGTACTCATTGTTGCTGCTGCTATTTTGTTATTGTTTTCATGCCCACTGTTGTTGTGGTTGCTGTCTGTTTGCTGTTTGGCCTTTTGTTTTTGGGAGCTATTTTCAAGTGAGCAGCAAGCAGGGCGTGAAGATAAAGCGGCGAAGAGAGAGCCAGCTAACACAAGAGGAGCCAGGAGAAAGAGCTCGCAGAAAGAGAGAGTGCCGTTTGGCCGGCGTCTGGAGGGAGCGTAGGTGATGGAACTACTGATACCCCGCACAAATTGCAGCCGCCGTCAGGTGTCACTGATCGATCATTCATCCGGCGCAAGTGGTGGGTAGCAAAACAAAGTAGAAAACATCTTGTGTTTTATTGCATAAAAGGCATCAAAACAACACAGGCCGAGCACGTCTACGTTGACACCTACAAAGTCTACAGCTAGGCAGGCAGGCAGGCAGAGAGATTAAAGCTTTCGACGACGACGACAACGCCTCTGCCGGCAGTGTGAAAACAGAGAGAGAATCAAGTCGGTGGCGCACGCTCTCCCGCTGCTTTGCCAGCGGCTCTGCCAACGGCGGCTCTGCGCCGCCGCTTCCTTCCTCCATTTCCACATTGCACTTTCAGTTGAAATTCGAACGTTGACCGAAATTGTCGAGGAAAACTGAACGAGCTCTCTCGCCTTTTTGTTTTCTCCCCCTTCTGTTTTTGTTTTGTTTTGATCGTTAGATCGCGCGCGCCTCAAAAAGTGTGCTGTGAAAACTTGAGGAGAAGAGAGACTCCAAGAACCAAATACTCTGCCACGCACAAGATCGTACGGATCATTCCAGCGCTGCGCTGCTAATTTGCGAACAGCTGATAAGAGATATTTATCGCCACTCTATTGAAACTTCCAATTTCACTCCCACTTCGCGCTACCCCCGCTCTTCACACCCCCAGCTCTTCGCTATCAGCGGCAGCAGCGACGCGGCGCAGCATTTGTGGCCTTGTAATCCGCGGCAGCGTCAAGATGCCCCAGCAGAAGCAACCGCTGCAGAAACATTCCGATTCCAATTCCATTTCCAATATGACATCCACTTCGAGGTCCACTTCCAAGTCCAGCCCAAGTCCCCCCAATTCCATTTTGAATTCCAAGCGGGAACGGGAGCGCACACAGACCATCGGCGAAACGGACATGGATCAGTCGGTGCTCAATGGACTGGCGGCGAGCATCGATGGCTCTGCCGGCTACCACGGGCACAAACGTGAGCTGGGTCACAGGTGAGCAAAGCTCTTCAAATTTCGTCAGGGGGGGAGAATAAATAAATTATATATATTTTTTAAATATGTAATAATTAAGAAAATTTCAAATCAACTAGATTGTGTTTTTTCTCTTTTTAAATCCAACATATATTTGTCCAGAAACTAAAAGATAAACATTAAGTTTTTACGGACAGATTGGGCGTTCAAGTATTTTTTAGACAAAATAACCAAGCTATATAAATTTGTACAATATATTATTTGCATATTAATTTTCTTATCATTCCTATGCTAGCTTTATAATAAGACCTCTGATTTTTGTAAAATTAAAAATTTAATTTTAATTTTACCCTAATTTACTTTGAGATATGAGTGATGATTTAAAAACATAACTAATTTCGAAGTAGATAAAGGTGGATCTACTTATTGGATAGTTTCAACCAGTTAGTATAGAAACTGACCCTCAGATAAACGACATAGGAACATGGCTAGATCGGTTCGGCTGGTAATGCTGATCATTCAGTGTTTTAAGATCAAATAAGTCTTTTTCAATGTATTGCTAACTTTCAAAAATAAAACCATAAATATAAATATAATAAATCTATATAAGAAAATCTACAGATAATCCCTCTATAAGAGATTTTTGAAAAAAGTATCATTGGTCACTATTAAAACGAGTATGATGTATAGCAAATATTTCTAGAAGCCTATGACACATCATCGATTGCACTTGACGCCATATTGACAACATTCATGCATTACAACAAGTGTCTTTCAAAAGGTGTAAAATTATTCTATTCTATTTGTGAAATATGAATATGAATATTATGGGTAAGACCCATTTCCCCATACCATTCCTTTAACTAGCGGTATCTCCTCGCTCTAATCTTGATTGAATCATGCACTCTTATCGTCTCGCCACCGTCTCCCATTGACTCACTTGGGTTTGGGTTTGGGTTTGGAGGTTCGGGATTAGCAGTGATATATATATCACATGGTGAATTTATTAGCATAGCCATATACATATGTATATACTTGCTAGCCCGGAAACCGAGGCTGCTTATCGGCTCTCTCTCAACCTTTGTCATCTGCTAGTTTTCCAATCAGACTGCCGGGCCTCTTATCTCAATTGCTACAACTACTACTATTTTTAGGGCTGCTGTTTACAGTTATGAGCATGCCCTTGACCATGTCACTGTGTTTCCCCCCCGCGCCCCATTCTTTTGGCATTCTGCCTAATTGCTGCCACCCCTTTTTCCACCCTTCGCTCGATCATTTAATTTGTGTTTGTATTTGATTTCATTGCTTGTGTGTCAATTAATGCAAATTTCTGGCTGTCGGACTGCCAGGCATTTGGTTTAATGAGTCGTCGCCAAACTAATCTCCGCTTCCAATCAAAGCAGATTAGCCTTCCCAAACCCTATATACCCATAGCCATACCCATTTATATTTCCATTCCCACCACCCCAACGTCTCCCTTTTGTAATTCCTCAATCATCGTTGAGTTAAATTGGCATATTTATGTTACTCAAGGCACTCGCTTAACCCCCAGCCAAGACCAAGCTGGGGTTTAATTCAGCTGCAGCTACGTGACCTGCACACCTCTCCTTATTCTTAGCCTTTGACTCTGGGACCAACTGCATCCATTCCCATTCCCTTTGGCGTCTTCAAATGCAAACAATGTCTTCTTCATCTTTCATCTTTGTCCCGCTGTGCACCTTTTGCTTTGTCGAAGGACAAGCACAACCTGTACCGGTTAACTTTACCTTTGCCACCTCATTCCACGATTGTCTTAAATCAGACATGCAGCTCGGCTCCTCCTCTGACTCCTCTGCTTTTTTCCAGATCTGATCAGATCGGAACCCCTTGCCGGTGGTCACGTAGTTGGCAACTTTTATTGCGTAGCCGGAACCGGAAGCGCCGCGAACATTCACGACAACCGACAGGGTAGGGATTGGAATGGCGATGGCAGGAACAAGGAAGGAGCAAGGGCAGAAGGATATGGAAATGGGGCAAGAGAAGAGTGTAGTCACTGCTGCTGCAGTGGCAGCCACAGGCATGGCGGAAAAAACTTTAATGCAATTTGCATTTCATTGAAATTCACATGCTAAATTTATTTTAATGCGAGCTGTTCTCTCTTCTGTTTCCATACACGCCATCCCAGTGGTGGCTTTTCCCATTTAATTGTCGCAACTTTTTGGCCAAAAACCTATTATTATTATTATTTGGGTAATTTATGCGCATTTTCCGGGGCTCTGGCCACTTGAATCTGGAAAATATTATATATATTTAAAATTTGAGAATTTAAGTAAAAGACTGAGCAACAAAGATAATATATAAATTATTAGCACAAAGAACATTTCACTGGGCCAAAGAAATGCGAAAGAATGCAGCTGCAGAGAAAGAGAATAACATAAACAAAAGAGCCAAGAACAAGAATTAAAAAAAAAAAAAAAGAATAACAATAAATAATAATAACATTGATTGGCATAACAATTTCATTTCCATCAGAAATATGCGCATTTCATTTGAACAAAAAAAAAAAGAAATATGTAAATAGAAGAGGCCTATCATCAGGAATATATAGACACAACCGTAAAATCCACTTACCAAAGTCAAGGTCGATTACCACCCACTTGGACCCCCTGCGGCTGATTATGTTTTGATTGGACGCTGGCTAAATTATTTGATTAATGGGAAAATGCCAGAAAGCACACAAAATTTGTGGCAAATGTCACATTGCAAATTGGAAAATCTCCCCCATATTTACACTTGCATATATTTGCATCTTTTTCGGACATTATTACAGCAAACATATAGTTCAAACATATATTTACGTATCTAAACAGCGCAGAGAGATACGCAATTTGTGGTCAATATGAAATTTAATTTGACATTTCGTTCTCGATTATTTCGCGACTCTTGTTTATGGCTGATAAGTGGGCGTGGCAGCGGGCCTTCCTTTGGCCTTTGGCAACCTTGAGTCGCTTGCCTTGACATTGCATCATTAAAATGCAAATAACATTTTGCTTCTGGTTTAAGCGATGGCAACGCGTGTGGTACGTGTGTGCCGGAGCTAGCAACTCGGGGATTCGGAGCAGCTTCATCATCGTCTTCCACTCTGGGTTCCTGGTTTCAGGTGCAAATACTTGTAGTTTCCCAACAGTTGACAGCAGCAACTTGGCATTTAACGGAGGTTGGACATGTCCTGGATGGGAATTTATTTTGGTTTATATGCTATGTTGAAGAACTTTAAAATTAGCTATGGTCACATTTTATTGTATTAAATTCTAGGCTGGGCACTCTGAAATAGGTTTTTTAAAGATTTGAAATATGCAAGGAAGAAACCATTTAATAGTTTTCAATAAATATAATAATATAAGGGTTGTATACAGGAAATAAATCTGAATTAGTTATTACATTTGTGAAGTTTAACACGTGTTGTTGTGCTAGCAAGTCGGCGATCCGGAGCCATTTCATCATCGTCTTGCATTTTGGTTTCCTGGTTTCAGGTGCAAATAGTTTTCACAACAGTTGTTAGCAAAATTTAATCAGATTTCTATGATGTGTTACAGGGCTTCAAAATGAGCGATGGTCACATTTGTTACATTTCACTGAATTAAATTTAATGCTGGTCACTTTGTTGTATTTATTTTTTACCTAGAAACTCCATTTAATGTTAGAATTTCATGTATTTAAGTACAAAACTAAAACAAATGGGTTGAGTGAAATTAGTTAATATATTTGTAATTAAACAAATTGCATTTATCATATTAAATTCTATGCTGGTCACACTAATGTATTTATTTTTTAGCTTGGAACTCCATTCAATGTTAGAATTCCATGACTCTAAGTACAAAATTTCAAAATATATATATATTTAAATATGAGAGAAATTAGTTAATAGATTTTTAATGGCATACAAATAAGCTTTACCTAAAAGAAATAGATATTTAACTCAAAAAAATTTACCTAAAAGAATTAGATATTTAACTCAAAAAAATGCGAAATTTTCACAAAAGAAAATGTGACACCCTGATGCGATGTTCATACTTTGCGTGGGCCGGCAGAGGCCGGTAGGTGGAATTCACCGACCCGCGACTGATCTAAAATAAAATCCCAATCTAAAACCAAATTCAAAAACCCCACTGGAGCTCTGGCGGCTGCTCTTTCATCGTCGTCGTAGTGGCCGCCCGTCGTGAGTGGCCCTCTGAATTGGATTAACCTCAGCACAATGCAATTTGATTAAGTTCGTTTAGATCAAATTGGACGCCACAGCATCCCCCTGCTTTCGGTTGGCCCTTGCCGCCTAATTAAAGCCCACGGTTCACATGCTAAGCCGCCCTCAATCAATTTTGGGTAGCTACTTTACTCAAACCCCGCAACCCTTCAGCGGGCTGTCAAGGTCGCACGCGATGTCCGCCCAGCGCCTGGTTCGACCCCTGACAATGAAATTGAAAGTGAAAGAGAAACATCGGCAGGAGAGCACACAAATTGTCCCACGCATGACCATGATAACTACTATGATGACGACGGTGTCGAGGAGGGAGGCTCAGAAACGCAAGTTCCAATGGACTATGGACATAGAACTCGACAATGCTGGGTTTGTTTTGGGTTACGCTTTTTGGGGGCTCAGTTCGTGTTTGCCTCGAGCGCAGTCCAGGCGATTTTACCTCTGCAATTTCTAGACAATTTGCAGGATTCGTGAGCTGAGATCCCCCATACCTTTATACCTCCTCCAACTTCTTCGTCTTCTTCAACTGAGTGTGGGTGTGTGTGTGCTGGGTTGTGTGTGAGTTCGTGTGGCTGGCAATTAAGGCCATAATTAGACGTAAACTCGTGTCGGAAGTGAACTGCGAATTGCTTTGTCACAGTGCTCCGGACAGCTTACACTGGTCACCAAAAATAAAGGGATTTATATCGAGATCCAAGAATGTTTATCTTTAAAAGTGGATTGGTAAAAACGGCTAATGATTATAGAAAAGCAAGCTAAGGATGTACACAATAGCGATGTTGATTGGTGTAGCTTTTGTTGTTGTTGGTGTTGTGTTGGTGTTAATTGGTGTAGTTGGCGTTGGTTTGTTGTTGAAAGTGATTAATAATCTTGTGTGTTTTTGGGGGGTAACGTTAATGTTATAAGCCTAGCTAAGGAACCAAGTATCATACATTAAATAGTAAAAAAAAAGGTAAGGATGTACACAATTTCAGTTGGTTTTGTTTATAAGGTAATGAACTTGATAGAAAGCTTAAGAAGTCACACAATGTAGAACCCTTTTTATAATTTAATTAAGTTAGATTTTTACTTGATCTGATATTAAATAAGCATCCTTAGTGGCTTGGCTCTCAGTTTCTTATACTTTAAAGGTCTTTACTCTGCCAGTCTTATTGGAAACCCTCCCAAATTTAATTTTCTTTTTTAATTCTCGATTTAATGCCTCTTAAATAACTTAAAGAAGTCCTTAAAGTGACTTAAAAACCATAGAAACCCAGGCTAAATACCTCTCCAGCTCTGTTCAACTTTTGTGTTATCCAGTGTAGTAACACCACCATGTGCTGCTCTTATGTGCGTGCTTGGTGCTGCTGCAAAGACTATTTGGTTTTGTGGTTATGCTTATTAAGTCAATTATCGCCCAATTGCGCCGCCCTGGACCGCATAGGTGACCGCTGTTCGTTGGTCGGAAGCTTTGATGATTCTGTGTATGTGTGTTCGTCGGGATTTAGGGGATGCTGGTTTACTGGGGCTTAGTACTGGCACACAAGGGAGCTGGAAACTGGAAGGAGGCAGCCTTGGCCACACCTCAATTGTTTTGGTTGCCATTTTGATTTTAATTGGAGCCCAAAACACCAAAGGACCCTTGAAAGATTCCGACACGACCTTGTATGGAAGGAAGGAGAGCAATATTATCTCCCTAATGAATAGTGAGGTGGGGATTGCTGCGGATATGCTTATAATTGAATTTAGAGAGCTCACTTATCAATTGAGAGCCTGGGATAAAAGAGCTTAACCGCAACAATGATTGCTGCCCTTGAGGGTGGACTGTTGATTGGTTTTGTTGTTGTTGTTGGTGTTGATTGGTGTTGCTGTTGGAGCTGTGTTGATGTTGATTGGTGTCGTTGACGTTGGTTTGTTGTTGAAACTGATTTATAGTCTTTGTGTGTTTTTGGGTGGTACTCGAAATGTTAATGCTAGCTAAGGAACCAATCATCATATATTTAATATTGAATAAAGATAATTTTATAGCAAAAATAAAATCTTGTAACGGTTTTTAAAAGAACAGACCTAGGAAATCCTTGTTGAAAGTTGTACTTTAATCTTCACTAATTAAAAAGCTAATAAATAAGCTTTACTTTTCAAGCTTTCTGTTATTTTATTATAAAAACAGCATTTTGTATAAAATTTCCTTTAAAAAACCTTCTTTAAATCAAAAATTTTCTATACTGGGTCCTTTAAAAAAAAGGCTTTCCATCTACCTAAAGGGAAAATCCACAACACTACTCCCATAGTTATATTCTGCAATTTAATAATAGTTTTCTCCTGATAAAACCCCCCACTGAACTTGCTCAAATATAAATGTTTATTGGTATACAATCAGTGCTTTTATGCAATTGATAATGATGAGTGCCCAAAGTATGCCATTGTTGATAGCCAGCTCTGTCCACGTGCATGCCTGTAGTCTGGCTGCCACTTGTTAGCACACCTCCTGATTGGCTGCCAATTGTTGTCGTGTTCACCTGCCCATCTGGAGAGCATTCTGGTCAGCTCGTTTACGCTTTGTTGGCTCTACTGAAAGGGCAGTGGCACGTGGCAGTTGCACCAGCATCCTCATCAGCATCAACACCAACGTCACTGAATGTCTCGCAGTCTCAATTGCAAAGCTGCAACGACAATAATGACGATGATTGTGATGGCCACGGGCACTCTAGCTGAACTGAAAGCGGAAAGGAACTGCTGGTTGTGTGTTTGCTGATGAGGTTCAAAATAGAACCTGGGGGGAAGCAGGGAATTACGTGGCATTACCCATACGCAACGTTGCCCCGCCAAATTGATAAACTTGCATTGGCATGATATGAATTTTGATTTTACCAGCGAGTGCAATTCGACCCTCGGTTTTGCGCTGAGAGTTATGGCCATTAAGTGCTTAGATGCAGCGTGAATCTAATCAAGAGATTCAGCAGGGACCAATGTCCTTCGATGGCTATGGAATAACAACTCCAAAACATGGCAATCCCACTGGCGGGTGGTGGGGTGGCAAAAGCGATAAGCATTCAGCCATAAATTCCCATTTTCGACGGTGACAGAAGACGAAGCAGAAGGAGAAGCTGGAAAAAAAGAGAGAAAATTCGGACTTGAGCTAAGCAATTTCCCCAACACAATTTTCATTGTCAGTGTCAGGAAGCGTAAACAAGTTAAGAATGCATAATAATACCAACTTTCTCGAGCACAATTGCCTCAATGGCAGTTTGCATGCAACTGCAATGTCTGTCAGTGGCAACACCAGGACAGCTGCCACTGGCACTAAGATCCCAGCAGGAGCAGGAGGAGGAAAAGGAGGAGGTGGAGGTGGAGGTGGAGGAGCAGCATCTCCGGCGGCCTTGTGGCTGCAGCCACAGAACGCGTAAGTGATCTCTCTATCAGCCAGTGTCAATGGACCGATTAAGAACGAAAAAATATCATCAAAACAAAAGTAAATTACATGTAAATCATGGTGACCTCTGGCTGGGGGAAATGTGTGTTGAGCAAAACACAAGCAATCAGTTCGTTGACGCACTTTGAGTATTTCGAGTTCAAATCGAGAGCTACAAATTTGTGAAATAAAACAGAAAAACAGCAGCACAAATTCGCAGTTTGTTATCAATGCAAATGAATAGCAAACACAGCTGCAGCAGAAAATGCAGAGACCCCCCCCTGTGTGTGTGTCTCTCTATCAATCAATAATCCTTATAGGGGGGGTAATCTAACATTTCCCGGGTGAAGATTTACGGACGCGGGGCAACCTATTTAAAGATTTGCTAAATCAGGGCCATTAATTGACGCGCAGTGACAATTAAGCCGTGCATGCAGCGGTTTAGTGACATTTTATTTATGCATTTATTAGATTATTTTTAGACAGCCGACGATTGCTAATTAATCAGATTGCTCAGCTCTCTCACTCTCTCTCTCTCTCTCTCTCTGCCTGAGTGTGCTTAAGGAACTTGAATATTTGCGCATTGAATCGATTAAGACTTGGTAGAAAAAACTATAATTATTTACCCTGCAGTGTCTCAGATTTATGCGAATTTTTGTATGGACAGGACAACGAAAAGGTCAGCAAGGACGATGTAAAAAGTGGGTGAAAGGACCTATGCAACTTTCCCGCTTATTTGGCAAATGTTCAAGTGAACCAAAATTGCCAAAAAAGAGAAGGCAGAATAAATAAACGCACAGCAAGGGGGATATACCACAAACCCCTACATAAAAAAAAAAAATTGAATCCAATATTTAAGGAAGCCAAAAGACAAGGTCAAAACCGAAACGGGAATACCCTTTCCTTTTAAATTTAACCAAAGCTTTAGCTTTATGGCAGCTAAGAGAGAGAGTATTCACCAAAACCTTTTTGTTCGCTCCGCTAATGAGTTTTTCCACAAAAAAGAAGAAGGCTGGCGACTGTCCAAAAGGGGCGTGGCCTACACACAACACACAGAGAGACTGCTGGGTCTTGCCGCCCACAACAAGTTTCCCTACACTAATTGCTGACCGCAAAGCACTGGGTGGGGCGGGGCGGGGCAGCGTCAATAACCAACGACAAAGTTGAAAATTGAATGTCCCACGATTTTCACGCCATTTCCCCTCTCGTTTTTCATGCCTTTTTCATTTCGGTTTCCATATTTAGCAGTTGTGCTGATAACCCATTGACTTGCTTTTCAGATCGAACGATCGATCGATGACATTGATTATTGCACAAAATGAATAAACAACATTTGAGAGGGATTTAATTAAAAAAAAAAAGAAAAATAAACCCTCTCTAGAAATAATATCTAAGATCTAGCCTCTTTTTGGCTAGTAAATATTTTTCTAAATTTATTAATTATTAAATTAATTGAATTTTCCATTTATTTAATTTCAGAGTGTTTGTAAACAGATCCCTGCATTTGGAAAACATCAAGTACTATGGCTTTGACATGGACTATACCTTGGCAGGTGAGTTACACCAAAAATATAAATAAAATCAATAAGATGCAAAGCGTCAAACGAATTTTTAAGAGTTTTTAAAGAGGTTGGAGAAAGGAAGAGAGAAAATTAGCTTGAGCGTCACTCATCTTACTCGTAAAGAGAACATCTTTTGTGAATGTAAAAAGAATCTACAAAATTTATATTTCCGTAAATATTATCTATAACTTATTTATATTTTGTTATTCTATGTTATCTCCTTTGTATTTCAAAAGAGGTTAGAATTTACAGGTGGTAGAAAAAAAAATCCTAAAAAACCCCTAAAAGTACACACTTGTAAGGGATGACCCCTTTAAATTTCAGCTCACTAATGACATACGTTTTTCTCTGTGTGCACAGAATACAAATCCCCACAGTATGAACAACTTGGCTTTAATCTCGTCAAAGAGCGTCTGGTCCAAATGGGCTATCCTAAGGAGATCCTACAGTTCGAGTATGATCCCACGTTCCCCGTCCGTGGCCTCTGGTTCGACACGCTCTACGGCAATCTGCTTAAAGTCGATGCATACGGCAATATTCTGGTCTGTGTGCATGGCTTTGAGTTTATCAAGCAGTAAGTAAACACTTAATATTCCCATTATTTAATAATTAATATTGTTCTGCCTTAAATATATAGTCACCAGGTGTACGAGCTGTATCCCAACAAGTTCTTGAAGCTGGACGAGTCGCGCGTGTATGTCCTAAATACGCTCTTCAATCTGCCGGAAACCTATCTCCTGGCCTGTCTCACCGACTTTTTCACCAACAGCAGCGAGTTTGTTCGGTAAGGGAATAAGTAGGAATGGTTTCTCTATGGCATATTTTTCATAGCTCTCATGTAGGGGATGTGAAAAAATATATTAAAATACAAAAAAAATTGATTACAATCAAAAATAAAAAAACAAAAAAAAAACGGTTTATTGACAAAAATATATAAAAAATGTATATATCGATATTTTTGACTGATAAATATTATACAAAAAATTTCGATATATTGATCAACCCAAAAATATATCGATTTTTTTTTATATTTTTGATATTTTGTCGATATTATTATTATTTTTTTTTATATTTTTTATTTTAATTAATTTTTTTTTATATTTATCAATTTGATATTTTACTAAAAAAAATCGATACGATATTTTTTATATATTTTCGCAATCCTACACTTCATGAGATCCATTGAGATCCCTTCAGCTTAACCCTGCATTCCCTTGTTTTCCCCTTCTCTCTGCTCTATCTCCGTGACATCTGTTTTCCCTTTTTCTCTGCTCTATTCTCTATTCCTCTTCTTTCCCCTCGACAGCGTTGAGCGCGGCATCAAAGCTGGCGATTTCCTTTTCACGTACAAGTCGATTTTCCAGGACGTGCGTCGTGCCGTCGACTGGGTGCATTCCGATGGCGACCTCAAGCGTCGCACCACGCAGGTGAGAAGAACTTCTCCTCTTCCTTTCCATATTTGAAACTCCATCTTAAATATGTTGTTTCCTTTGTCCTTAGAACATGGCTCACTATGTGAAGAAGGACGAACGTCTACCCACAGTCTTGTCCCGCATCCGGGAGTCGGGTGCCAAGCTATTCATGCTGACTAACAGCGATTATACGTACACCAATGAGATCATGACCTACCTGTTTGACTTCCCGCACGGCGCCACGCCCGAGGAACCGCATCGCGACTGGAAGAGCTACTTCGATGTGATTGTGGTGGATGCCCGAAAGCCGCTGTTCTTCGACGAGGGTACCGTTTTGCGGCAGGTGGACACAAAGACGGGCGGGCTGAAGATCGGCACTCACATTGGTCCGCTGCAGCCGGGACAGGTGTATTCGGGCGGCTCCTGTGAGCTCTTCACCAAGTTCATCAATGCCAAGGGCAAGGATGTGCTATACGTGGGCGATCACATTTTTGGGGATATCCTCAAGTCGAAGAAGATCCGGGGCTGGCGCACATTCCTCATAGTACCCGAGCTGGTGCGGGAGCTGCATGTGTGGACGGATGAGTGCCAGCTGTTTGCGGAGCTGCAGAACCTGGACATCAAACTGGGCGATCTGTATCGGGATCTCGACTCGAGTGCCAAGGTCAAACCAGATATATCGCAGCTGCGCACCTGCATTCGGGATGTGACACACAAAATGGACATGTCCTACGGCATGATGGGCTCACTCTTCCGCTCCGGCTCGCGCCAGACCTTCTTCTCCAGCCAGGTGGTACGATATGCCGACGTCTACGCGGCCACTCTGCTCAATCTCATCTACTACCCCTTCTCGTACATGTTCCGAGCACCGGCCATGCTCCTGCCCCACGAGTCGACCGTGGCCCATGATCAGGCCCACCAGCCGCCCCCAGCTTTGGCTCCCGCTCCTGCTCCAGTTACTGGTTCCTCCTCGGTGGCAGCATCACCCGATGAGCCAGCGCGCTCGGTAGCCGGTACAGAGCAAGTGAAAGAGTCCAAGGATGCCAAGGATCTGCATCGTGCGGTAAGTCATTCAATCGTCTTTTTTGGTAATTACCTTTTGTTGGTTCATGTATTAACCCTTTCGGTCGTTGCAGAGCTCCATTGTACACACTCGACCCTCCACGCCCACTGTGGTCACTCACACCCATGACGAGGACTACTCCGAGGAGGAGGAGACGCCCAGCGGTGCCGAGTCCTCCACTGAGCAGCCGCTGCGCGATGCTTCCGAGGACTAGAAGAAGGGCTAGGAATAAAGTCACCGCCACAGGAATGTTAGGATCAACGAATTTTCTTCTCAATAAAATACCCCTCCCGCCCCCAAACCCTATACTCTGTAACCTTGACCTTGAACGCTCCCGAAAACTGAATACGCGGTCTAAGGAATTGTAAAACGTACGATTTTCCCTGGCGATTTTACCGAAGCACAGATATGTGAAACTATATATATATATATATACCATATATGATATATACATTATACATTATACATTTAGCTGGTTCCATACATATAATGTGTGTGTGTTTTTTTTTAATTAAAACCATAAATTGCTGTAATTGAAAGAGAAAAAGTGAGTGGCTTACTTAAAAAGAGCGCGTTAAATGGGATTAAAAACTCTCTTCTCTTCAACTTGGTTTTTCTTCTCTTTTGGGATTACGCTCAGTGTTTTTTCAGAGAGACCAAATTGCTAAGCTCTCTCAGAGTGCAGCTAAAGGAGAACTCTCTCATTTGCATTAACTCTCTCTCGCTCTCGCGTTCGCTATATAGTTAAACAGAGAGGGAGAGAGAGAGAACAGTTCCAAGCTTAAGTAAGAATTAGTGATCTAAAGAGAGCAAACACTGCTCTCTCACTCTCTCTTAGTAGCGAACGAGAGAGTTTTTTTTTAAACTCTCATGTAAATAAGGATTCAAAACTAGACTTGCTTGTAATATTCATCTTAAAGTTTATTTATATCGAAAGGAGCTAATCACTGCTTGGCAATCTTGTTGCCATCGCACTGTAGCTCTCCGTAGATCTGTTCATCTTGGATTTCGCTCTTGATCTCCGTGGCCAGCTCCACGGCCTTGTCCTGTAGAGACACAAATATATCAAAACATGATCTTAGCCCTAAAATCAATCTAAACAGAAATAATGTTGGACACTTACATCGAAGTACACGTTCTGCTTGCCCTTCTGGAACTCTCCGAACAAGGCAAAGACATCCACCAACTTGCCGCGGGCCCCAAACTTGTCCGAGATCAGGGAGAACAAATGCTTGACGGTCTCCTGCTCCACGGGCGTGGTATCGGTGCTAATGAAAATGGCACGCGGCAGCTGCACATCCACATTGCAGGCCCGGAAATCGGTGACTGGTCGTCGCTCCAAACTGGGGCACACCAGCTGGGCATCCTTGTGCTTCTCCAGCTCGGTGGCGGGCACAATCTGCACAGTTCCATCGGCTGTGGACGAGATGCGGCAGGTGTCCAGGCCACGTCGCTTGTTCAAGAAGGCGGCGGCCAGGCGGGCGCGTTCAGAACCCTCATCGAATTTGCTATAAAATGGGATTTAAATGGGATTATTGGGGATCAAGGATAAGGACTTTTCATTTCCTCCACTTTCACTTACATTTCGGCCTTTTGGAGCGCCTCCCGTCCCACATTGGGGGCTGCCACTGCCACCAAGACATCGTCCTGGGCCCTCTGCTCGTAGACCAACGGCTGCAGTTTGTAGCGACGCGCCTCAGCATAACCCGAGGCTGGCAGGATGACTAGATCTGCCTCCTTCTTGGACATGGACTCCAGGCAATCGGTGGACTGGACGCACTCAAGCTCGGGCCGAGCATCGCGGGCATAGGCTGCCTGATGCAGAGCCTGGCACTTGGCATACTCATCATCGCCCTGGGCACACAGCCTGATCTTCCGGATGGCACTGCCGTCACGCTCGATCACATCCTTGTAGCCAGCCCGCTCCAAATAAACCTTGGGATCAATGGCCGCATCCTTGCTATGATAGACGGCACTCGGCTGGATGAGCAAATGGGCGGCGGCATCCTTGTTCTGCGCCTGCAGGCCGTTGGCAAAGAAGCGCTCCAGACGCGACTGCAGCTGATGCAGCTGCTCCGTGTTGTGGACAGCCTTCTCGTTGGAGATATAGCCGCTCCAGGGTCGCTGGGCCCAGGAGCAGGCCGGTCCTGTGATGGGCCTACGGCTGCCATCCTCGCACAAATACTCAAAGTCATCGGGATTGCCCTCCGCCTTGGGTGCATCCGGACCAGCGCCTGGCAGACCAAAGTACTTCTTGATGTACTGCACCTTGGAGAAGGCCACCTCGCCCTGGCCCTTGTCCAGGCAGCGAATGGCGCCATCGTAGCCACTGAACTTATCCGGATAGTTGCACTGCTCCGGCTTCTCGCACAGGGCGCACAGATTCGAATACTTCTTCTTCAGCAGACGATCCGTGTCGGGATGCGCCGAATAGGTGCCCACCAGGCAGGACTGGGTGAAGAACTCGGACAGGGACTTGAGCTCGCGTTCCGTGGCAGAGATTTGCGGATCGGCGGACACCTTGAGAACATGTGAGTTCTTTAGCTTGGTGATGGGGATCTTGTAGCCCACATTGCGTCCGAAACCGGTGTGGCAGGACTTGGCGCCGCGCAGCTGCTCCAAGGTGCGTATAGGTGAGGTCTTCTTTACCAGGATAATGCCCTCGTAGCGGAAGGCGGCTAAAGGGAGGGTAAGGTATATTTATTTTCATTTTTTGGGGGATGAGAGAACCTTGGACCCACCATCTTTGTCCTGCTGGGTGCGAATCTCTGACACCACCCGGTAATCCTCGTTCTTGCGATGGTAAGCAATGTACATGTCCTCCGGCTCTGTGGCCAGCACATCGGCCTTTCGCTGCTCGATCAACTCCAGGCAGTCCACTCGATCCCTTCCAGCCACGCACTCCATACGGATGCCCGCCTCCGAGGGATCGGCCAGCAGCTGCTGGCACTCGGCCAAATAGATCTGGGGCACGCACAAGCGGTCTGTAGGGGAAGACTAGATGTAAGCTAGATTTATTTAAGATGGCTTTAGGGGTACCTACAGATGGGCTCCTCAGCTTGGGCAACTCCCATAAGGAGTAAAAGGGCGGTGGCCGCCAAGGGCAGCAGCCAGTTGGTGGTCTCTCGCGGCGACGTCATCTCAGGAACAGTTGAAGCTCGACTGTGGAGAGGGCTAAGCCGGCCGGCAGCTTTTATAGCCGTCGCCAGTCAATCTCTCTGTGGCTTTTTTTTGCTCGCTTTGTTCTCTGCGATTCTATGTACTGAAATAATAATAATAATAAATAAACACAAAAAAAAGAAAAAAACAGAAAGAAAGACACTCCAATGGGACCGGTTTTTTCCCCTAGGTTCCTTTGGGAACGTGACTAGACCTAGGGTCTATAAGCTAAGGCAAATCGCTGTGTATATAAACTTATTATCCATGATCTACCTTAAGATCCCCTGCCAAGACACACAAAAAAGTGATTGATTTAGATCTATAAATTATTATATCTTAAAGATACTTCTCTGAATATATAAGCAGACTTTACAGAGATCTAAAACCTATATTTTCCATTAACTAGGGCGATCATAGAATATTGATAGCTTAGATCTAAAAGAGATCTAAAACCTATATTATCCATTAACTAAGCTGATCATATAGTATAGATAGCACAGATAAAGAGATCTAAAACCTATATTACCATTAAATAAGCTGATCATAGAATATTGATAGCTTAGATAAAGAAATCTAAAACATCTATTTTTCATTAGCAAAAGCTGATCATATAATTTAGATAAATGATCTCGCCCACAGACTAAACAGATCTCTTAAAAAAATTCACCTAACGCCTCTCTCTTCAGTTAATTGTCTTGGCACTTGATCTCCCAATCGATTGCTGGCTATATAGTACATATACTTGTCTGATCTCGGGGACTTACTGCTTGTACTATATGGAAGTTGTATATGAATTAAATAACTGATAAACCGAGCTGTTTGTTTGTGGTACTTATATTTTCCAGGAATTATTGAACCCCTTTTGAGGGGTATACTTACTTTAAATTCAATTCGAACTCACTTTCGTAGATTTTAGTTGAATTATACCAGCCTCTAATGATATCTTTAAATTTAATTTGCATTTCTTGGAATTGTGTATTTTAAAGTGCCATTTTATACACTACAAAGTGAAGAGTTTTGGCTTGAACTTGGATATATGTATGAGGATTTTAAAGTCATGATTATTTAAAAAAACAAACAGAAATTAGTAATAAGCACTCACAAAGATAAAACAATTTTTGATATAATTTATTAATAAATTAAAATGATTAAAAGGTTTATATTTAAGCTACCAATATCTAACTAATTATTTTAACAAAATATTTGTAATAATTTTATATTTCGATTGATATATCGAACTAATTTATACAAATATAAGATATATATAATATAATATATCTATCCTACATTTTTGTTCTTTCCGAAATTAATTATATTTTGTGTATATAATATTTTAATTCCTTATAAATCGATAATTAATTGAAAAAACAAAACAAATTGATTAAATATCGACATTTAAAAGTTCAATACGATATACCTCGATATTTCAAATATCTATTAATCAAAGTTTTCAATACCTTTGATATGATATTTAGTGCTACAATATTTTCTTCTCCACATATGTACCTCCCTTAATTGTTAGAGTATCCCATAGTCATTGTAAAATTTCCCTTTAGCTTATATTTATGAGGTTTTCGCTTAGTTCTGCCTACTCAGGCACAGAACCTGTTCAACGGCCGGGATTTGATGGGATCACCTCTAGGCACTCACCCGCAATTTTGAGCAGTGGAGTGCAGTGAAGGGAGGGACACCGCCAAGTGAAATTGGCGGCGATCTGCTTAAAATGCAGGGGGCGTGGTTGGATAACGAATGGGCCACAATAGGGTGATGTGGCGGGCTGTGTGGGTGCGGCTGGGGGATCTTTTTTCTGGGCAAGAGCATCGCATCGCGAATCGAATTAGATCGTTTGTTATGCCGCATACACTTGCAGGCGCTGGAATTGAGTATGCAACACAGGGACGGTCCGGTCAGCACTCTGCAAGGTCAAAAGTTGGTCGGGAATCTCCCACTGGAATCGCAATGGGTTTGGGATTTTTCCCGCCAATTGGATCCCTTATCTGCGTTCCCTGGATCGGAGGCAGGTAACCACAACAAACACTGATTTAAATAATAATAATTAGTTTTAATGTGGCTGACTTAACAAAGCCAACTGCCCGAGGAATAATAAATTTTAAGTCATGGGTGCGAACAGAACCTAGAATAGTTGAAAAAATTAAGCCTAAGCTCAGGTATTCCAACTTTATATTACAGATTATAATTATACATTTTAAGATTACAGACTTTCAATTAGCATTCAATTGAATTGCTTTTTAATTATATTTTATTCGTAAACATCGTTAAATATGGTTTTATAGTAAACTTAGATATTGAGGCAACTAATGTAAGAAGAATTAGAGTTGCTTCTGATCCATCTTCTGTCTTCCTTGTGTCCTTTTTTCTTTGCTTTTTTTTCAAAACCACTTTATACCTGGTTGATTTCCATTTAATGACATTCCATTTATCAACAACCGATCGCCCTAAAATGTACCATTATGGGGTAACCTTAGAACTTAAGGGGCCTACGTGTGAACTTGTATAAATGAAACGGTCACGTAGTTATTGGAAACAAGAAAAGAAACTAACATTGGAAAGCGAAAGTTTAAATACCCTATTTTTTTTTTAATTTTTGGGAAAAATCAAAACTAAACAAAGTTATAACTTAACCAAAAAAAACATTAAATTCAATTCAGTAAGAGGCTTTGTTCAGTTTTTATAAATAATTAATTAATCTATTAACCTTATAAAAAGTTAAACAAAGACTCCATACTCCATTTAGCGGTTTTTCTAATTTAATTTTGTTATTTTTAGATAAAAATCCAAATTTAAAAATCTATAATCAGCCAAAAAATGCGTACTAAATTTAAGATTATATCAATTTTCGACAATTTTAACGATGTATACAAATATTTTTAAATCTGTGACTCTGTGAACTGTCTCAGTTTTTTTAAGATTAATAAATTTGCATACTGAATTTAGTCATTTGTTAAATTCTATTTTTAGCCAATTTTCAAAAATGTTAACAATTTAATACAATTTTGAAAATTTTTTGATATTTTTGTATTCTTTTTTCGAAAACAATCAAATTTAACAAATCTATAATTTTGCCAAAAAAAAAAAAAAAATATTAAATTCTATTTTATGACATCTAAGGTCGTAAATGACTCTGTTGCTGCTTTTTAAATTTTCTTACTTAAATTATAGTACATCTTCAACGGGTATAAAAACTTTTTTAAAGAAAACTAAATTAAACGTCCCTTTATAAAACATTTTACTCCCAATCAAGAAAGGAGAAGTTCCTTGCACACTGAAAAAGGCCGAACTCCTACCAAAATGCAGCCAACGTGTGAACGCGCCATAGTTTTCAAATATCGCGCAATCGCCACTATCGCAGTTCAAAAATCAATCGATGTTGCCGCCCAAAGAGGAGCTTTCGATGCTATCGATAGAGTAATCGACGTTGCCCCACCACTGGTTCAAGTGACACGTCGGAAACACTGCGTGTAAATTGAGAAATATTGAGAAAATTAAGGAATTCCGGCCACGAAACGCACCCATTCTGTGGCACCACTGATCCCGCTATTGTGCCACCAGCCTTGGACAGCCAGAAACCGCCACGATGACGTCGCAAGTGCCGTGCTACACGATTATCAACTCGCCGGACATGGAGGTGCCGAACGAGATGCAGCTGAAGCAGGAGCTGGAGAAGGGCGACACGAACGTGAAGATCGAGACTCTGAAGAAGGTGATCAAGCTGCTGCTGAACGGCGAGCGCTACCCGGGCCTGATCATGACCATTATCCGGTTCGTGCTGCCCGTGCAGAACCACACGGTGAAGAAGCTGCTGCTGATCTTCTGGGAGGTTGTGCCAAAGACCTCGGCGGATGGGAAGCTGTTGCAGGAGATGATCCTAGTGTGCGATGCCTACCGCAAGGATCTGCAGCATCCCAACGAGTTCCTGCGCGGCTCCACGTTGCGTTTCCTGTGCAAGCTGAAGGAGCCGGAGCTCCTCGAGCCACTGATGCCGGCCATCCGTGCCTGCTTGGATCACCGGCACTCGTATGTGCGTCGCAACGCCGTCCTGGCCATCTTCACCATCTACAAGAACTTCGATTGGCTGGTGCCAGACGGACCAGAGCTGATCGCCAGCTTCCTGGACACGCAGCAGGACATGAGCTGCAAGCGCAACGCCTTCCTCATGCTGCTGCACGCCGACCAGGAGCGTGCGCTCAACTACTTGGCCTCGTGCATCGACCAGGTGCACAGCTTCGGCGATATACTGCAGCTGGTGATCGTGGAGCTCATCTACAAGGTGTGCCACGCCAATCCGGCCGAGCGTTCGCGGTTTATCCGCTGCATCTACAACCTGTTGAACTCCAGCTCGAATGCTGTGCGCTACGAGTCCGCCGGCACCCTGATTACGCTCTCGCTAGCTCCCACCGCCATTAAGGCGGCGGCCAGCTGCTACATCGAGCTGGTGGTCAAGGAGAGTGATAACAATGTCAAGCTGATTGTCCTGGACCGCCTGGTGGCGATGAAGGAGCACGAGGGCATGGAGAAGGTCATGCAGGACCTGGTAATGGATGTCCTTCGAGTGCTGGCCGCTCCCGACATTGAGGTGCGTCGCAAGACCCTAGCCCTGGCCCTGGATCTGGTCTATTCGCGCAATATTGGCGAAATGGTATTGGTACTCAAGAAGGAGGTGGCCAAGACGCACAATGTGGAGCACGAGGACACTGGCAAGTACAGACAGCTGCTCGTCCGCACCCTGCACACCTGCTCCATCAAGTTCCCCGATGTGGCGGCCACTGTAATACCCGTGCTGGTGGAATTCCTTTCGGACACCAATGAGCTGGCCGCCGCCGATGTGTTGATCTTTATACGCGAGGCCATCCAAAAGTTCCCCGCCCTGCGGGCCCTTATCATTGAGAATCTGATTGAGGCCTTCCCCCAAATCAAGTCATCGAAAATCCATCGTGCCGCTGTTTGGATTCTGGGCGAGTATGTTGAGGGACCGCAGATACTCGAGGTGATCACTGTCATCCAGCAGACGCTGGGCGATGTGCCCATGGTGGAGGCAGAGCAGCGTCGCCTTACCGGCGAACAGAGCACCGAGGAGCAGCAGCAGGGGAGTACCAATTCAGCTGGCGAGGGTTCAACCACGGGCTCTGGCAATGCCAGCAACAAGGTCACCTCCGATGGAACCTATGCCACCCAAAGCGCCTACAGTTTGGCCCCGTAAGTTGGATGTACATTTTTGAGATCTATAAGAATTCCAGGAACTAAAACATACTTCATGCAGAGTGGCCAAGGCCGAGAAGCGTCCGCCGCTGCGTCAATACCTGATGGATGGTGACTTCTTTATTGGCGCCGCTCTATCCGCCACCCTGACCAAGCTGGCCCTGCGCTATGCCGAGCTGGAGCCAGAGGCTCGCTCGCAGAACCGCCTCACCACGCAAGTGATGCTGATCATGAGCTCCATTCTGCATCTGGGCAAGTCGGGATTCCCCAGCAAGCCGATAACCAACGATGACACCGATCGCATCTTCGTCTGCCTGCGGGCACTGAGCGAACGCACACCGGAGGCGGTGTCCGTATTCACTTTGTATTGCCGCGAGGCTTTGGGCAAGATGCTGGACGCACAGGCCGATGAGGATCAGCGGGTGCTGAAGGAGAAGCAACGGGCCACAGCCAAGGTGCAGCCGGATGATCCGGTGCTATTTGCCCAGCTCTCCAATGGACGCGACAATCAGCTGGGCGAGAATGTGTTCGAGTCTAGTCTGAACCAGGCTTTGGCCGGCAGCAAGACTGCCCAGCAGCTGAGTGACGTGGCCTCGCCGAATAGCAAGCTCAACAAGGTCACCCAGCTGACGGGCTTCTCGGATCCCGTCTACGCCGAGGCCTATGTCAATGTCAACCAATATGACATTGTGCTGGACGTGCTCATCGTTAACCAGACCAGTGAGTGGAGGATGGAGGAGTCTCCTCTTTGGAGTGGTATTCCAGCCTAACTTGTTCGGCTTCTTGCAGATGACACATTGCAGAACTGCACCCTAGAGCTGGCCACGCTGGGGGATTTGAAGCTGGTGGAAAGACCGCATCCTGTGGTCCTTGCCCCTCACGACTTCTGCAACATCAAGGCCAACGTAAAGGTCTCCTCCACGGAGAATGGCATCATCTTTGGCAATATTGGTGAGTGTTGATCAGCATTAAGAGCCGATTGAATCTAGCCTTGTCTCTCTGTTTGTCAACAGTTTATGACACCGCCCTGAATACCAATGTGGTGGTTCTCAATACCATTCATATTGACATCATGGACTACATCATTCCGGCCAGCTGCACGGACACCGAGTTCCGACAGATGTGGCAGGACTTTGAGTGGGAGAACAAGGTGACGGTCAATACCAGCTTCACCGATCTGCACGAGTATCTCAGGCACCTGCTGAAGAGCACCAACATGAAGTGCCTGACGCCGGAGAAGGCGCTATCCGGCCAATGTGGCTTCATGGCCGCCAATATGTATGCCAAGTAAGTTGCTTCCACTTCTAATTGCTCGATGGAGCTCTCTCTCACACACACACTGACACCTTGTGCTGCTCCCAGGTCCATTTTCGGAGAGAATGCCTTGGCCAATCTGAGCATTGAGAAGCCCGTGGATGATCCCGATTCCAAGGTAACGGGACACATACGCATTCGCGCCAAAAGCCAGGTGAGCATGAGCATCTGTATATTTATAGCTTCCTTTAATTGTTTTTAATTTTTAATTAATTCATTTTTGTTAACTAGGGCATGGCCCTGAGTTTGGGTGACAAAATCAGCTCCTCGCAGAAGCAGTCTGTGCAGGCGGCCTAGTGGACGTGGAACTGGACGTGGACGACCAGCCACCGCCAAGAGCGACGTATTTGAACGACGTATTCGGCCACCCGCCCGCATTCCGCCAGCCGCAATTCTTCAATTTACATTACACGTTACACACACACACACTTATGCATAATGAATATATATTATACCTTAACCCAGGAATATTGTGTTTTGTTTTGCAAAATGAAGTGGGAACATTTTTTGAAATTTTTAAGTTTTTATTATATTTTAAATATATTTTTAGAATTATATATATATTTTTTTTATTTTATTTAAAAGTTGAGTAATAACTTATATTTAATTTTTAAAATAATAATTCAATTCAATTTTTATTTTAGAAATTAAAAATATGAGTTGCCAAATAAAAAAAAAAAAAAAAATTTACATATATACTAAGGCAATACCTTTTTTTTATTATATTTATTACAAAAATTATAATTGTTTTTAACAATTACTATTCAATTTTAACACAAAAATTGCATATATGATTATATATTTGTTTTTTTTTTTTAATATAAAAGTTGAGTTATAACTCTTAAATGTAACTTTTAAAATATTATATTTTTTTAGAAATTAAAAATAAGAGTTATCAATAAAACGAAATTATTGATTAATTGATACGTGTATCAATCTTTTAAACACACCGCTCCGCTAACACCTTTATTTTTACGAAAACTATGAAAAGTCCGATATTTTTGTACTTGAAATGCTTTATTATACTTTAAAAAACAGTTTAGTTTAAAATAACTCTGTTTAATTTGCTTATTAAATGTGATTTTGTTATACATTCGATTTAAATTAAAATTCGGTTTATAAAAAAAGGATATTACCGGGTTAAGAAAAATGGGTACAAGACAAAAGTAACTAAAGTCCAACTACTGAACTTGATATATATATGTTTTTGGGGATAATAAGCCTTGAAAAACTGTCAAAACAAAAAGGTAAGGATAAAAAAGATGTGCCTTTTCCAATTATTGGGGTTTTTAAAAATATAAACAGTATCTTAACAATTTAGGGCAAGGTGTCTAATCGAGTACACTGAGCGTACAATCATATATATAATATATATATATTTATGTATCTTAGACCTGCAGCATGGGCCTCTTCTCCTTGGCCTGTAGATTGTCGTTGGTGGTGGCATAGCCAGTGCCGCCCTAAAAGAAGCATAGAAGAAATTAACACAAATTAATTTAAAAAACTTTTTAAAACTTACTCGCTGCAGGGGAATAATGTCCTTGTCCTTGAGCTTGCGATCGGTCAAAGGATGGATCATGTCCTTTCTGATTAACCGCTCCACACACTCCATAGTCACCACATCGCCTCTAAAATAAAATATATCAAAATAAATAAATACTCCTTTCTAAATTTCTACAAGGAACTCACGTGGGTCGCAGCACAGCGCAGGGCACGGCATTGCTTAGCACATCGTGGGTAATGGGGCACATGTAGCGCGCCTCCTTGGCAATCAGAGAGCGCTTGGCATCGCCATCCTTGAGCAGCGTAAACTTCACATCGATCAGGTCCTTGACTCTCAGCGGCTGCTGCGATACGGGACAGTAGATGGCAGGATCTGGCTTTTTGGCCCTGGCCAAGCCAGCATTGGGACATTCCGATGGCAGCCAGAAACTGGGCAGCTTCTTCTCGTGCCCGTTGGTCATGTTGGAGATCGAGGTGGCACTGGAGGAGGAGGAGCCTGATGCAGCGGAGGCAGACGTTGAGGGCTTCTCACTATTTTTAGCTGCTGTGTGAGCGGGCGTCATTGCCGGCTTCTCGGCATTCACAAAACGATCCATTCGCGCCTGCTGCTGTGTGTTGGCCTCCTGGTTCAGCTGATCCTCCTCGGCGCGACGCAGTCGCTCGTACTCCTTAAGCCGGCGGCTATACTCGTTCTTCTTGGTCACAATGTACTGCAGGATGGCCTCCTTGTCGAATAGGTAGCCATCCTTGGTCACCACAGGCCGGCGGCAGGGCTGCAGTGTCAGGGAGCAGCAGTCGAAGGACTTCACCGAGTCCTTGCCCAGCCGCTGGGCGTTTGTTCCGTAGCCGGACTCTGCTGCATCCCGCTTCTTCTCGTTGTATGTATACACGGCTCCGGCCGTGCAGTTGCGGGCGTGGCGTGTCATTTTGGAGTTGTTTTCTTAAGTTTTACGAAGATTTTTATTTGCAGCAACAGCACAGTGTGACCGTAGCGCAGAGAGTGAAAAATACTAAAGGGATGTGCAGAAAAAAATACTGAAAATGAGTGTATTGAAAATTAAAGCCTAGTACTCTGACGAGAAAAAACCGCTGTATAAATTTAGACAGCGGCCAAACTCCATATAAAAAAAACGGTGTCGAAAAAAAAGAAGAAGAACTTTTAGACACGTCGTTTTTTTCGGTACTCTGACGACGAAAATGAAGCCTGCGAAAATTGAATGGCGTTGCCAGATCAAGATAGTAAACAGCTGATATCGCGCTGTCTAAATAATTCATTTGATTTATTTAGACACCCCTAATGGAGGGAAAGTTGAAGGAAAAAGGTGGCATTGATAGGGGCTGTCAAGGGGAAGCCCATAATATGGAATTTAACCCAAAAAGGACATTTTAATGCAATATTTATTAATATTTTTAATATTTTTTTTGAATATTTGTTTACAAACAGCTGTCCAGTGTGACCAAAGAAAATCCTTAAACGCCATAAAAAGTACATTTTCATGGCATTTCAGGACTTTTCTTAATTTTTTTTGGTCACACTAGCTCGGTAGCGAAATAAAGAGCGATTCCGCTGTATAATTTATACAGCGGATTTTTCTCGTCAGAGTACTAGGCTTAAACAATGAAATAAAAGTTCAGCGCACCGAAGCTTGTACACCCTGCAGTTTGCAATTGTATAAAATTTAAAACATTTTAAATTTTTAATAAAATATAAATAACTACGGGATTTTGTATATATGTTACATTAAAAAAAAAATTTTTTATACCCATTTACATCTATATTTCTTTTTACAGTTTTACAGCTACAGTTTACCGATTTCCTCTACATCTAATCATTTTTCCTTTGGTTCGTATTATAGTTCTTCGATTTGTATAAAATTAAAACCGAAAATTTGAAATAAAAATAAAAATATAAATATCTCGAAGTATATAAAAAGTATGATAAAAAATAGCAAGCCTTATTATTTTTTGCTATTAATTTCTTGATCTTTCCAAAGGAGCAAAATTATATAGATATCCGATTTGTATTCAATTGAAATCGAAATAAAATAATAAAAATTGATCACATCTTAAAGTAAAAGTTATAATTAGTTTCACGATTTTCATTAATAAAGCATTTCTTAATGGATAAAATATGGTCAAGTATATGAAAATATGTAAAAAACAAGGCAAATATAATTTATATCTAATCTTCTAAAATAAAAAAAAATTTATTTTAATTATATTTAGTTATTCTTAAATATATATTTTACTTTGATTGGAATTATAATACTCTGCAGGGTAAAAAATATATATAGGCAAAGTGTCCTCGTTAAATAAATGAATTGCCATAAAATGAATATCAAATTTCTAAATAAATAAAAAATTTGAAAATATGTTGAAAAACGCATATATAATTTTGTTTAAATTAAAATGAATAATAAATATAATTTTATTATGCTTCGACTTAAATTATATTATCATATTATATATTATATTATTTAGACAGCGCGATATCAGCTGTTTACTATCTTGATCTGGCAACGCCATTCAATTTTCGCAGGCTTCATTTTCGTCGTCAGAGTACCGAAAAAAACGACGTGTCTAAAAGTTCTTCTTCTTTTTTTCGACACCGTTTTTTTTTATATGGAGTTTGGCCGCTGTCTAAATTTATACAGCGGTTTTTCCTCGTCAGAGTACTAGGCTTTAAAATGTAAATTATTCAAGGATAAAGCCTAGTACTCTGACGAGAAAAACCCGCTGTCTAAACTAGACAGCGGAATCGCTGTTTATTTCGCTACCGAGCTAGTGTGACCAAAAAAATTAAGGAAATTCCATGAAAATGTACTTTTTATGGCGTTTAAGGATTTTCCTTGGTCACACTGGACAGCTGTTTGTAAACAAATATTAAAAAAAAATATTAAAAATATTAATAAATATGGCATTAAAATGTCCTTTATGGGTTAAATTCCATATTATGGGCTTCCCCTTGACAGCCCCTATCAATGCCACCTTTTTCCTTCAACTTTCCCTCCATTAGGGGTGTCTAAATAAATCAAATGAATTATTTAGACAGCGCGATATCAGCTGTTTACTAGCTTGATCTGGCAACGCCATTCAATTTTCGCAGGCTTCATTTTCGTCGCAAGAGTACCGAAAAAAACGACGTGTCTAAAAGTTCTTCTTCTTTTTTTCGACACCGTTTTTTTTATATGGAGTTTGGCCGCTGTCTAAATTTATACAGCGGTTTTTTCTCGTCAGAGTACTAGGCTTTAATATTGGTGTTGAGAGCTAAACAACTGTGCAAACAATCTGCTCGAGTTGTCTTCTGATAACTTATAAACTGTGTGTATCTCTGACTTATATATCTGGTTATTTATATTAAATGACGTTGGCAAAAACGTGTAAATAAAGAAACAATAAATATTAAAAATACTAAAATCATAATGAACATGATCTGATACATTTTTTGGCGCTCTGCATGCGGTCACACTGCACCAATCGGCGACTTGCCGGATCCCAGCTTCCCGAATCCCCTCCTGGCTTGGAACGGAGCTACTGCCATTCCCCCTCCAACTGCCAATGGACTATCAGTATTACGACGAGGAGTCCGACTACATTGACGTGGACGAGGAGGAGCTGGCTGCGGCCGGCGGCCTGGACTACGGTTATGGGAAGCCGCTGGATGAGGAGGTGGAGGACTATTATCTTGGTGGAGGGGAGGACGAAGAGGCGGCATACCATAACGGCGGCCTAGTAGAAAGGCTCCCCCAGATCCTGCACAGTTGCGTTAAGCCCTCGCTGCTGCAGGTGCTCCAGTATATGGCGCCCATGTTGCTGCTATGCCTCGTGTGTCGCCTCCTGTGTCTGCTGTACGCCCGGCGAGGTCACCTCTCCCAGAACCAGTTCCAGTCCCTGCGGATGGCGCCCCTACACTTGATCCACCTCGGTTGTGGCCTAACCTTGCTGCACTTCTCCGTGGGCTATCGCCTTTGGCTGCTGTTGCTATTGGCCGTCGTGGGCTATCTGCTGCTCCAGCTACTGCGCCTGGGACGGCACGGTGCCCAGCTCCTGGCCATGCTCACCATTGGCAGCCAGTTTCTGTACGAGTTGCTGATTTGGCGGAACCGCAGCGACTGGCCCCAGCTGCGCGGCATCCAAATGGTGGTCAACATGAAGCTCATCTCGCTGGGCTTCGACCTGACCAGCGGCGGCGGCGGCAACCAGCTGACGAAGGGTATACCCAATCCGCTGGCCTATCTGGGCTATATATATAGCCCCGCCACCTGCGCCCTGGGACCCTGGGTGAGCTACGGCAGCTACAGCAACTGCCTGGTGCCCCGGAGCAGCTGGCTGCTCAGTCTGCGTCGAACGGTGGCCAACGCTGTGCTCTGCCTGCTGACCGTGACCGTTTCCAACTGTCTGGCACCGTTGCTGAGTGACCTGGCCGGCGGCTGGCACTTCCTGGCCATGTACACGGATGCTCTGAGTGTGCGCAGCAGCCACTACTTTGTGGGCTTCATAGCGCAGGCTCTGCTGGTGGTCACCGATCAGCGACTGGATGATGCTCGGGAATCTGAGCTATTGGGACCGTTGGTGGCGCAGCCCTGGCGCATAGAGTGGCCGCGCTCGATCAGTGCGTTGGTCCGGAGCTGGAACATTCCCATGCACGAGTGGCTGAAGCGGTACATTTACACGCCCTGCAAAACAACGGGCAGGCACTCTCGGATGCAGGGACTCCTGGCCATCTTCTGCACATATCTGGTGTCCAGCCTTCTGCATGGAATGGATCTTCGCATCTATCTGGTCCTCATCTCGTTGGCCGTTTTCGCCGCGGGCGAGTCTTTGCTGCGAAGACACCTCTCCAGCGTTTTAAATGCCTGCCTTTCGGCCAATCTCTGTCCGGGAGCGGAGCGTTGTCGCTACAGCAACTGTCCCAGCAAGCTGGGAAGCTGGGCCTCTGTTAGCGGCTGCCTGGTTCAGTTGGCCAATCTGGGCTTCACGGCGCTGGCCATCTTCCATCTGGCCTATCTGGGTGTGGTGCTAATGGGCGACAGTCTGGAAAGCGGAGTTGGCACAGCGGAAGAGGAGGGCTTTTTGTGGCACTGGAAGCAGGCCGGATACCTCAGCCACTACATTGGCGTGGGCACCATTGTGCTCTATCTGTTTATCTCGTAGGAACCGGAGAATAAGCCGGATCTATATAGTATCTACGACTGATTTACACGTATTTGTAACGGTGTTCGTCGCAACCATTTGTACTTTTGTATCTCGTATCTTGTAGTTTTTTGTGTGTGAATCTCTGTAAGTATTTCAACATTAAACGATTCTGTGAAACGGAATTATCTAAGTTTAATATAATTATTGCCTAATTATTGTAAACGGGCTCGGAAAAAGATTTGAATTTGTTTATCACTCGGTTTTTTTTCACTAAACGCTCGTTTTTGAGAGGGTTTACGAACGTTTAGTGAGACTTCTGTCCAAACTGGCGGATTAATATCGTTTCTAAGTGCGTTTACGAGCATTTTGCGATATTATTTCTATTATACCTCAACTTAACTACAAAAAATCGACATATCGACTGAGAAATAAGGCTAAAGGCCCATTGCATATTTGGTGATGATAATAAATAAAATACTAAAGATTAAAATTTAAACATTTCTAATATAAACTGTGATATGTTTGGCTAAAGTAAAGTTTCCTCTTTAATTAAAAAACCCAAGCGTTATTTTCAAATATTTTTATTAATTTTTTTTTTTATTTTTTTTTTTTTTTTTGTTTTTTGTGTATATTTTCTTTGTTGTTGATTTTGTTTTGTTTTTGTTTGTTTTCTCATTGAGACAAATATTTATAACAATATTGTAATTTCTACTGATTTTTTTTTATTATTATTTTTCTTTTTTTTTGCATTTTCGCTTTTGCTTTTGTTTTGTTTTTTTTTTTCGTTTTCTGAATTACCTTTCTTCGGGCTGTGTGGCTTATACTTGTTTCCATTTACTTTGTTTTCCGCGCTTAAGATTTAAATATTAAAATTACTAGCTTAAGAATTATGCAATGACAATAAAAATATTTTATTTACTTTGTTGAATGCAACTTTTGTTGATTTTGTAATTATTTAATATTTTTGTCTGTATTTTTTATTGTTTTCCCTTCCTCCGTACAGGACAAAAAAAAAAAAAAACATGCTTTTTGAATTCTCGTTCTCGTTTCGTTTTTGTTTTGTTCCGCAGAAAGCAGTTTTGATTTGGACATCAAAAATAGAGAGATATACATGATTTCTTATGCTTTTATTACCATTTCCGTTTCCGGTTGTTTTGTTACATTTAAAAAATAGTTCGTTCTGCCTGGCCTTGTGCCTCCGCTTGAACTTGAACTTGGTTTATCCATACATTTATCGTAATTGTCCCGCCATATCTACCATTCATAACAACAACTGAGTTGATCACAAGAGATAACGAGAGTGTTTAGCTTTCTATATATATATATATATATATATATATATATTATTTTTTTTTTACATATATATACGTGTGTTTTATACATACCAAAAAAGCCTTCTATTTTTGATGATTCAGGGGCAGGACCCTTTCCCTATTCCTCTCTTTCCCTCTCTCGCTCTCTCTCTCTCTCTCTCTCTCTCTTTCTATTCTCTGTCTCTATCTGATTGAAAACAAGATTCACAAATATTACAAATAGTGTACAAATATTCGCTAGCTACGTATATCTCATATATAATTTTACATATAAACTGTTTGTTTAAAGACAGGGGAGGTGTTCTGCTGCGATTTCGATTTTCGTTTCGTTTAAAATTATGTAACAAAGTGTTTGAATAATTGAATTCATCCTTGCCCAAGTGCGATTAAAACCTAATTTGAATCCTTTTATAGTTACACTTTTTGCGCTGCAACACGTACATACATAAAACATATATTCCCAGTGGATCAAAAGACAATAGCAAAACAAAACTATCGTAAAACGTTAGTAAATAAACTCAAAAAAGAGCTTCTAGCGAACCGAAAGCGAGTGACTTTTCTTTTATTATTTATGTCCAGTTTTTTTGTGTCGTTAAGATATTATAAATATTTCACATCAAACAATAGTTCAAGTATCGCTCACAATTTTTTGATCCACTAGGTATTTTGATCAAGAGAAAGTGATTTGATAAATTTTAAACAATTTTTTTAATGGGGGAGACTTCAGAAGACACCACACATCTCTTTCTCTCTCTTTGTATCTCTACCTATCTCGTGTGTTCCTCCTAAAATTCGCTAAGAAATAAAATATAACACTTTCGCTAGACTTGCATGTCCTGCAATAATTACGAATTAGATAAAACAAAATTTTTAATTACAATAGGCTTGGGGGGGGAGGTGTGGTAGAATCATAGGGAGAATGGGAGTTTTTGGGCTTAGGCTATACACATTTTTTGTGGATATAACTTCAGTATCGTTAAATTAGCAAGTAAACTAAGGCATAATTCTAAATCATAAACATAATATTAAACTTTTAAATTATAAACATAATTACATTGTGTTCTCTCGTCCATCGTCAATCGTCCATCGTCCGTCTCCGTCTCTGTTCTAACAACAGCGCGATCCCACATTTAGCTCATACATGACCATTTCATGGAATGCCTTTCCATGAACTGAGCTTCGTATAAACGCAACAACACTTAATGTACACACTATCCACATATAGCGCTTTCTATACGTATATAAATCATGATGATATGCGGATCCATGCAGCGCTGCTGTCGGGCGGTTCGTGTTTGCGTTTTCCAGAATGGCGCAACCGTAGCCATAACCTTTGCTGGAGGCGGAGGCGCACGCCCCACATTCAATCGTTCTTGGTCTGACAGTAGAGCTCCTTGAGCGACTTGAGCTCCTCTATGAGCGCTTTGTTTTGGTTCTCTAGCACCGCCACGCGATTCTCCAGGCACTTGATGTACTCCTTCTTTTTGCGCCGGCACTCACGCGCCGCCTCCCTGTTCTTCTGCAGCCGGATCTCGCGTTTGCGCGTCTGATCCTCCGCTATCCCGCTATTGTCTGCAAGAAATAGGAATAAGAACAGATGATTAGTTATCCGATTAACCGATTGTGTGTGCTTTAATTTCCCCAAAAGTCGAACTCTCTGTAACTCGAAAGGGATTCGAATTAACTCTACTCGAACTTGGATAGCTTGGAATTCAAAAAGATTCATTCTTTTTATAAAAGCAATAGACAAAATAGTTACATGAAAAGTTTAATTTTAATAATTTTACGTTTAACTTTGAAATAAATTTAATTATACATATTTGGGATTACGAAAAGAACCATAATTTGATGTACAAATATAATACTATTTAAATCGATTGTATCAGCAAGTTCGAGTTGCAGGAGTTCAATTCTAGCGCTATTTAAGGTCTATAGATATAAGTTCTTTGGATGGGACTATTACTGGTGTTGTAAGATATCCGATTGGATAGGTAGTACGCCGGGTCCAACTGCATCAGTGAGCTGTTCGTCGCATTGCCCCCCGCACCGCTACCCGCCAGCTGAGAGTTGAGCACGCCATCGGACATGGTCAGCGATGCGCCTGCCAATTAGGATTCAATTCGATCAATTCCAATGCAGATGCAGGTTCGGGTTCGGTTTTTGGTTTTTGGTTTCAGTTTCGGAATTTGTCGGTTTGGGGGGAATTGTTGTTGAGTTGTTGTTGTTGTTGCGGTTGTTGTTCAGGACAGAATTAATTTTGATAGGTTTTTTTATATTTTTTTTGTGGAGTAGGAAGGCAGTCGAAAAGAAAACAATGGAAAAAAACAACAATAAAAATTATAAGAAAACATATTTTTCATTTCAGTTTTCAAACGCAATTTTAAAATTTTGAACAGATTTTATTTTTTTTTTAATTTCTTTTATGATCTTGAGTGGGTGAGTGCGAGCGAGCGGGCGAAATAGAGAGTTAGTCAAAGAGAGTGGAGAGAAGCTGGTTAACGGTTGAAGTACTGTTAGGTGAGGTTGGTTGTTTCTTTTTTTTTTTTCAGTTTTTCTTACATAGTTTGCATAATGAGCTGTGTAATAACAACAACGGCAACAACAACAGCGATTTTACAGCAACAACAACGACAGAGCGAAGTAAAGGGGGACAGTAGCAAATAGAAGAGAGAGGGGGAAAAGGTAGGGGTAGAGACAGGCAGCAACAACAGTTTTAATGAAGAAGTTTTAGTAAATCTTACTTGTTTTTAATTTGTTATTGTTGATATGCCTGTCTCTGTATATATACATTCATATACATATATATGTATGTATTTGTATATACATATTGTATGTATGTTTGTATTTGCACAGTTGTGGGTGTGTGTGGGTGCTAGTATGTGCGTGCAAGGGTGAGAGATTTATTTACAGGAATTTCAGAATTCTCTACAACGCCTTCTTAGCTTGTCCTTTCGCAATATTATTATTTCTATTATATTTATAACTATTATCGATTAAGCAACATCAACAACAACAGCAAAAAGGAAACGGACTGTCTCTAACAAAAAAGTAACAAGATGCGTAACGACATTTGCCCTAACAGTACTAGGTTGTGCGGGAGCAAAAGAATGCGAGTGAGCGAGCAACATGGACGGATACAACGGTACATGTATTCACAAAATACAGTTGTGAACAAAATAAGTCAAGTCTTATGACATAACTAAACATGCTATTTACAATGTCCTGGGAGTCTTCAATTGAAAGCCCGAAGGAAATGACTACGTTTTTTCAATATTTAAGGAAAAAATCGATTAATTTTTACAAAACTAATATTTAATGTTAAGTTTTGAAGGATTTTTGTTAAATGTCTTTACAAAACGTGAAGTTTTACACAAGCTCTAAATCAGTTACTGAATTACGCTAAATAAATCTGTAAACTTTATAGGCTCCTTATGCATTATAAGCTTCTGATCAAGGGTCCTGTCTGGGTCTCAAAATGTTCAAATGAATTTTTCACTACTGAATGCTATTTGCCCCAACCGCAACTGTACAAAACGAATGACCAATGTGAAATGTTGGGTTACAAACACTGCAAGAATGAATGGATTTTGATGGATCGACGGATCAGCAACCCTTTTGGGAGTGAGCCAAACGATTGCCAGGCGGCTCGGTTGCATCCTGGGATGACTAATGAGAGATCGGCTGGCGCGATGCGTTGGGTTAGCAATATAGAGAGTTGAAGAGCGACAGAGATGTGTTCGAGTGTTGTGGAGCTTACTCCCCTGGACTGACTTACCGCTTATGTCGGGTCCACTGATCTCGGTAAAGATCTTATTGTACGATGGCCGCCGCGTCAGCTCGCTGCGGTGATGCTGGGAGTCGTCATCCGACAGACTCTCGTCGCTGTCCTCCTGATGCTGCGTGTTCGGCTCTGGTTTGATTTTACACGTCGGAAAGGTTGGAGGGATCTTCGGAAATTCGAAAATGGTTAGTTCGTTCGGCTCCAACTTGGGGCGCTCGCTGAGCTACGCACTTTATTACGCACTTGCACTGCATTGCCGGAGGTCGTGTGTATGACCGTCGAGTTGGCCGGCTTGGCCACATAGACCACTCCCACGCCCTTGTGCATCGCTGTGGCGGCGGCCAGCGCCTGTTGCTGCTGCTGTGTTCCAGCCGCTGTCTGTATGACCCCCGAGGGATTGGCCTGTATCACGGATTGCACCTGTGGGAACGGAGTTTTTGTACAATTAGAATGGTACCGGGGAAAGGGCCTAAACTGGGAACTAACTGGATTCATAACTGCCTATAGAGCTGATCGTATAGCAGAGGGGAGTTAAAGGTAGCCCAGACGCAATAACCTGCCTAAAATAGAGTTAATATCCCAGCTCTTGGCTAGGAAATAACTCAACACTGGGCGCCTTGCCACTCACCTGCAGGCCGTGCTGCGCCAGCGCTTGGATGGGGTACTGTATGTTGCAGTTGGAGGTGGTGGTCAGCACGGAGGCCGCTCCCTGCGAATTGTTCGCCGCTCCAGCCGTTGTACTCTGTGGGTTCTGTTGCTGCTGCTGGGGGTTACCACCAGCACCGCCTCCTCCTCCGCCGCCACTACTTGCCGCCGCCGCTGCTGCTGCCGCTTGGGCGGCAACGACATCAACGACATCGTTGGAGGCCGAGGCCGCCGACGAATTGCCGTTTTCCTCGACGATGCTGTTGTCCATGTTGCCGATCCTGGCGATCTTCAGCAGCACCGAGACGCTCTCCGACAAGTGCTTCAGTTTGGCTTCCGTTTCCGCTTCAATTTGGCCAGCTTGAAGGGGTTGCTGGAAGGAAGATCGGATCGGGAGGAGGGCCGTTGTACAATATGTAGATTTATTTATTAAACCCGGATAAATCACTGATCACTGCTCTCTCTCTCTCTCTGTCTCTCACTGGTCAATGCTTGGCGGCTGCTGCTGTTCGACTGTCAACTGTTGTTGCGTTTGTTTTGTTTGGCGACAGCGACATACAGCGATGACGAGTGATGATGATTACGTTTATGTTGCTGACACCAGCAGCAAGAACAACAACAGCAGAAACAACATCGCGCAGTTGTGTATATTTCGGTGGAATGACGTCATGACAACGTTGTGTGTGCGAGAGGCAGCAAAGCAAAGAAAAAAAAAAACAACGAAAAACACACACACAACGCACGGAACAGAACAGAACCAAAAAAAAATCAACTTACTTTCTGATGACATCACTAAAAACGTTGCCTCTTGTTGTTGTTGCTCGCTCTCGCTCGCTCTATCCCTTTCTTTTTCCCTCTCACTCGCCCTCTCTCCAGCGTGCGTGTCGTTTCCTTGTGTGTGTGTGTGTGCGTTTGTGCGCGCGTTGCACGCTGTGCTGGCAACTTGTTGAAAAATCCGCAGATATTTTTAAGGGGGATGCAATGTGTTTGTCTATAACCCGTGGCTGGGGGCTCGTAACTCCCGAAATCAACGATTCCTGTAGGGACTATAGCGCCAGGTATGGCATTTTGAAAGGCTCAAATCAGAGAGCCAATCACACGCACACAACACCAGCAGCACCACCGCAGCAGAGGGAACAACACCAACACCGAGTTGGTGCGACAAGTTGGCAGCACGCACACACACAACTCTGCTCGGAGCTCCGCACTGCTCTCTCTCTCTCTCCGCCTGTTGTTATCGTTGCCTACGTTCCTTTTAATTTTTTTCACACCCCCGAATCACGGAGCAGACGTCCAATTTTGGAGGTCGAAACACCGAATTAGAGTCTTCTGCACTCGCACTCACGCGTTTGCCTTATCCACTGCAATTGCACGAAACGATTTATTGATAAACTCCGTTTTTGCGCAAAAATCGTTCGCGTATTGCTGGCTCGCTCACTAGAGCTGGAAATAAAATCGATTCCGCACTCAACGGATCTCAATTTCCCATCTCTAGGAACATCGATTTCGTTGCGGACAATCGATTATATTCGAAAATTTTAAATACACTTAAAATTCAATAGATTAAAATAAATTGAATTGAATAATAATGTATTTCTATATATTGTTCACTCAAATTAAGTAACAAGAGCCATGCCTAAAAATTATTTTTGTTTCAATGAGCGTAGCTTGTTTTTATTTTCAGCGGCAAATAGTGCTTATCGTCGGCGGTGATGCCAGATTTTTCCGGCAGTATTGCCAGCTTTGCCTTTTTCCGTTAGATTATTTAAATAATTGTTTTTTGTCTTAAAAGTTATATATTTCAATTATGATTTTTAATATATTCCTTACAATATTATAAATATAAATGGTGTATTGTAATTTAATGTTTCACTTTCACAATATTGTCTGAAATTCTTTGTCAAATTGCATTTTTTATTTTTCCATTTTATAATAAATTTATAACATATATGAATTGCACACAAATCTTTCGAAATTCATATTTAATTCAAATATTTTTGTAGCCACAATATTTTATATAGACAAAAAATTACCTATTATTTACGCCCAAAAGTGGAAAAACAATTACAACAGATGACTTACTCCCGTCAGTCGCAATGAGGTTTTCCTCTAATTGCTGTACAGCTAATAGTTAGTGACTATACAAGTACATATGTACTATATGTAAGTTTAAAAGGGCATGACGTCATCATTGTCTGACATCTTCGCGGCAAATTGGTGAGAAAAAAACAGACCTGGAATAATTTGGGGTCCACAACAGCTTTAGTTTAATAGTAAATTAGTGCAACGGGGTGGCAAGTGGGCGGACTGCAAATGTCTGTGTCCAATGGTTCTTTTTTGTGGAATATTAATAACATCCATTCTATTTGCATTATTTTGGATGGTTTTTTAATCGACTTCCCTTTGAGTGACATAATAATTGCCATTAATTACGACCCATCACGAACCCTGTAACGCCCAGCGCCCACTTTTGGGGGTTCATTCTGACGAACACCGCGCTGTCTGAATGGCTAACTGACTGACTGACTGACTCACTGCCCCATGTGAGCCGTGGATACCTTTGCGCCGGCTGACATCACTGGCTAATGAAGTTTGCCCTGTTCCCCGCAAAGGGAACGGTAAATAACCCATTTTGTACTGCGTTCACACCTGCGGCCAGCGCAATAGCAGAGCAAAATATAACCAGAAATTGGCTAAAATATGCGGTTTCATCATTTCAGAAATTTTCGTACAAACCAAACATGCACAGCAAAAAATATAAAAATTAAGCTAGATAGCTTTGTATAGTAGGGTTTTGTATACCTTTGCAGTTGGCAATTTGACCCAACTGTTGCTAATATTGATATCATAAAAAATTTATTTATATAAAATGTACATTATTGCCCTATTCATTTTATGATCGTTTCGATGACAACTATTTTTATTTTGATTTTTCTAAAGTATTATTAAATCAAAATATAGATCGCACATATATTAAATATAACGATTCGACATTAAAATATTAATTGATTTTTAGTAAAATATTAAAATAAAGAAAACATTAAACATTATTCATTGCCATAAATTAAAAAAAAAATGTTATAATTAGAATTGCTAAAAAAAAAAACTAGTTGGAGATTCCCAATTCGATCGAATGATCCAGTTGCCAAATACAATGGTATACAAACTACGGCCTACCGAAGAAAGCTTCCCTTCAAGTTTTTGTTTTAAAAATTTGTTGCTTTTTGGCATTAGCAAACAAAACTCAGCAGCAGCGTCAGCGGCGATTTTGTTGCTTTTGCATTTCAATCAATTCCAATCAGAATGCATTTCGCATTTCGCTTTCGGCTTTTGATTTGCCCTAGCCGAACCGAAGCAGCCCCCCTTCTTCGGCCCGTTTTTTCTCACTGTGCACACGACGTACGCAAAATTGACGTCAGCATTTTTTATTTTTACTCGTTTCCATTGCGTTGGTGTTGGTTCGTGTTTGTGCTGGTTGGCTTTCTGTGAATCTCTGCTCTCCTCTCCCCAAACCCCACCGCCTCACCCCTCTCTTTCTAACGCTGTTTGCTTGGCTGAATTAATTAAAACTAAATGAATGTGCAATAACAAAAAACAAAGCCACAACAGTTATTACTTGTCATGCACAAGCTAAGAACAAGAAGAACAAGCAGAAGAAAGCAAAGGGAGTGGAAGTGAGTGAGACAAAGCCATTGACGACAGGTGCCGTTGTTTGGGGCACAGAGTGAGTGAGAATAAAGGAGTGCGAGGGGGAAGGTACAGAGGGAGAGGCCTACTGCATATGGCCCATAAACCCCCGTGGCTTAACGACTGGATTATCAACATATCCATAACCATTTTGATAATGCCCCCGAAGGACAACAGCTCAACCATTTATTTTAAATATTGTCTAGGCAGTTGGTATTACTAATTATTATTATTATAATTATTATTTTTAGTCTTTAAAGTTATTTAAAGGATTAAAAAATGAATGCAGCTCCCAGAAATATTAAAATATTACTTTAAAAATTGTACTTTAAATTTTGTTGTCATCTCATATTGTTTATACTTGAAATTAAAAAAAAAAACAAATATAGTAACAAGAAAATTTCAAGCCCTTAGAAAGCATTGCTTATTTGTCGCCGTGCACACAACGACACGGATATTTCTGTCCGTGTACGTTATCAGCTGAAAGGGGGAGCTTGTGTTATCAGCTCGTCGTAGTTGCCGGCTAATTATGCACGGTCCTAACCAGTTGAGCTCTTTAAATGTGCAAGATTAGCGGGAACGGTGTTCGTGAGTAGGGTGGGAGAGAGAGAGTTCATTCCAAAGTGGTTCCCCCAGGCAATAGTAAGCGATGGTAATTTACGACTTTGCTATCTAAGCGGCTCGACTCCACTATCGCAGTGTCAAGGCGAAGCGCTCTATCGCCTCGCCGCATTCCGCCCATAACTCATTGATTGATAAGTATAATCCGCTCCTCTCTCCCTCGCTTTTCATGCTCTTCCGCATCGTTCTCTCTCTTTTCACCCATTGATGATCGCGCCGTTATGGGTTTGTTGCCTTTGCACTTGCACTTGCACTCCCACTCCCACTCCGCACACTCACACTCTCTAACCCTCTCCCTCGCTCTTAAGCTTTCATGCATTCCCTCGTCATTTTTGGTGTTTATTGCTTACCCGCGCTTCGCTTGCTTGTTGCTATTGTTGTTGCTTTTGCCGCTGCTGCCTGTTGACGTTGCTGACTAATAACAATGAAATCTTTGCATAACGGCAAACACAAGCACTGCACAACAAAAACAAAAACAAAAAAGTAAACTAACACAACACAACACGCGAGTGTGTTTTCGCTCTATCTCTTTTCGTCAGTCGTAAGCGGCTTTCAAGTCGAGGGAGATGACAACAATGCAAATTTAAATCCGAAAACACAGCAAAAACGGAACAAAGAATATAAAATAGCTTTGTTATTGTTGCCCGTTGTCGTTGTCGCTGCTTTTGCCTCCTTTTTCGTGTCGTTTGCGATTACGTCAAGATTTTTGTTATTTTACTGATTTCTATTTGATTACACGCTCTCGCACACACACGCCCGCGCCTACATACAGCGAAGCTATAATTATTTACTTGCACACACTTGCACCGAAAGAAAAGAATGTTGTTACGGTTTTTGGCGCTCAAAATTCGCTGCTTTTGAATCGTCACCTTTGCTGTTCCCGCCGGCGCCTTGCTCTTCTATTGCTGCTTTGTTTTTGTTCTAACCACACCGCTCGTGTGTTCTGTGTGTGTGAGGTGGTGTCGTCTCTACGGTGGTGTGAGTGTGTGTATTTTTTTTTTTTTGGGAAGGCCGTCTGTTCTCTACGTAGTCAAACTGAAACTGAAAAGTAGCAGCGATGATGACTGACTAAGCGACGGCGCGGCAGCGGTGGCGGCAGCGGCAGCGCTGCGTGCGAGCGTGATAGCCAGCGAGAGATAGAGAGAGGCGCAGCGACACACGTCATCGCAGCGACGGCTACGCCGGCAGAGCACAGCTGAGTGAGCATATGATTGAGGGACGGCCACCCACTCTCCCTATTCCTTCTTATGAATTCTTCTTTCCCACCCACTCGCAATTATCTTTGTATATTGTTTCGTAATTTGCCGTTACTTCGGTGGAATAACTTGTGCAGGAACAACAAAGAGAACGGAGCGCCACGTCAACGTCGTTCTTTTTCCTCACCTTTACAGACATACACACACACACTCGCACTCAATAGGATGCATAAATATTTTAAAATAGCCAGAGCCAAGCAGCGGTTGCGGGAGCGAGATAGCTTCTGCCGTTATCGCCTTAGCGCACAGTTATGGCGTAGCAGCTTGCTTGCCGACTCGCTTGCGCGCCCGCAGTCCGTCACCCGGTCGCCCTTCTCGCTCGCACTTGCACGCCCCCACCCAGTGCTGCATACTTTTCGGTGTTGCCCTCCCCGTTTCCATGACAATTTCCTCAAAGAGAACTGCAATTGAAATGGAAAAGCAAGAAGTGCTGGCAGATTCTACCACCCACTGAATAACACTATCTGTTATCTAAGCAAAGGGAGGATTTAGTTGTGCTCAGTAACCTTTCCACTGCTTAACACTACCAATGTTTTAAAATGTTTAATCAGAAGTTTTAATTTATTCTTTAATTACCAAACTGTATTCAATAATGTAAACTATCTTAAATAATTACCTGGAACAAATAAGAGGAATTACCCAATTTTATAACGTTTCACTTTGGCAACGTTGCGTATGCGTTATGTGTGAGACTCCCCGTCTTTTCGGCTTCTTATCTCACCCCTTTGCTGGCAACTCGCCTCTTTTATCCCTTATGCCCTTCTCCCTTATTCCGTTCCCCCTCGCTTTGAAAGTTTAGGCTGTCGCGTGCGGCTCACATGGCGGATACGTTACGTGAGAGTTACCAGGCGTCGCGGCCACATCGAGCATACGCAGCGTTGCCTGGCCGTGACAGGTGAAATCCACTCAAAAGCAACGCGCGCTCACCTGGCCCCCGCGCGCGCAGCGTTTAATGTGATTTGAAACTGTGATCTGCTTGTGGCATTTATTTAATGGGAACGGAAGCTGCTGCTCGAAGCAACGAGGCGTTAAGCGAATTGCTTCAAAACAAAACAAAAAAAAAAGCGATAAACATGAGCCAGCGATAATAAGCCACAAATGGCAAGGAAACGGAAGTCCTAGAGGATTATTACTTAATTAGTTTAATAACCAACATAATTATTATCTCTATTTGCAGTTGAATTCGCTGGCAACTTACATTAAAAAGTTTTGCAGTTTAATTATGAAATTGAAACGTTTTTTCTGCAAACTGGGCTCCCTATATAATTCCATTTGAATATATATAGTATGCAAATACGTTTAGATATTTAGTTTTAAGTTACGTCACTTAATTGATTCATTAAAAGTTAGGATACTAAATGGGCACACAACATTTTCCGTAATTATTTTAGCAGCCACGCAAGTGCACAGACGCACTCTTGCTGTCTTTATTTATTTATTTATTTTATTTTATTTTTTGTGAATAATTCGCAAATTAGTTTGGCAAAAGTTTTCGCTCTGTAGGGCTAAAAATAGCGGCACCGCTGTGGGGTTAACGGCGCTGGGCGAGCCAAGCGTGGGCATCAATGACGCAGGCAACAGGCGGAATTCTGGCATTCAGTCAGGAAGCAACCAGAAACAGACTGTGGAAAAAAACAAAAGGAACGGCGAATCGCAACGTCACCAGACGCGCTGTGGCATATCAACAAGCTGAAGGTGTGTTTACGGGGCCAAGCCCCCGCCATCTTGCCATTCTGCCATCCTACCATCCTGTCTCCCCGTGGAAAAGCGGAAAAAGGACGCAGACAAAGCGGTTTATGCGTGGGTCGCTTCGTCTGCGTTGATTGACAGTTGTGCCGGTCGGTTATCCTTCTGTCTTTGTCCGCCGCCATCAATCTGTCTTACTCTTGCCCCCGGTTCATCTTTGCTATCACGATGCAGGCACACAGAAAAAAAATCGAATACAAACTACTTAATTCGAATAAATGAATTTCTTTCTGTTAAATAACAATGGCGAGCATTATCATATTATCATAATCATATATATTGCAGATCTTCTAAAATACAATTGGGAATATTAAGAATAGCTTTCGGATTCTAAAATCTTTGAAAAGGGTTTCTAAAAGTGCGCTACAAAATGTTTACCGTATGAAAAACGTATCATAAGTCCAGTTTCTTAAACATAACATTTTGTAGTAAAGTTTTTGGAATCTTTTAGATATCCCTGGTTGTATTTTAAAAGATTCCAATTTTAAAATACAACCAGGAATATTAAGAATATCTTACGGATTTTTAAAGTCTAAAAGTGTGCTACAAAATGTTCAAAGTATAAAAAACGTATCACAACATTAAGATATAACCTTTTGTAACAACGATTTTGGAATTTTTCGTATAATTCTGGAGTCTTTTAAAATACAATAAGGAACGTTATGAATATCTTACGGAATATCCTTGAAAAGGGTGTCTAAAAGTGTGCTACAAAATGTTCAAAGTCAAGTAACCACATTTTTAAAGGTGTGCAATTTGTAAGAGTAGCATTTTGTAGCAAAGATTTTGGCATCTTTCCGGTAAATTGTAAAACCTTTTTGATTTCTATAGCGCCTCCGAAAGTATAAGTTAATATATGATTCAGAATATTATGTACCTTTCTTACCCCTGAATGGCTTAATCCCAGGCAGATAATTCTAGAATCTTCAAGTTTAACTATAAGTAAATCACGGCATAAACCCGGCCCACAAGCGGACGCCGCTTAGGTAAACACGTCTCTTGGTCCACACCTACACAACACACACCACACACACTCTAAGCACATGAATACACACAAGTGTAGTGCAAAAATTGAGTTGACGCCTGGCAAGCAAACTTAAGCTGTCATCCGCATGCTTGGAAAAGCGGCGGAAAAGCGCGGGGCAAGCACATACACATACACACACACACACGAGGCAAAGGGGCGTGGTGCCGAGAGGTCGCCTGGTGTCATGTTTACTTAACGTTGCCACGCGACAACTTGTTGCACGTCCTCCTGTCTCCTGTCCTCTTGAAGGAAGCTCAAAGGAAGTCGGCAAAAGCAAGGAAAAACAGCAGTAAAAAGGCAACTTCCAGGAATGCCAGGATACTAAGGATCCGGGTTACTCTAACTAAGTTTGAGGAAAAAGGCTGAGAAAATAGTTTTTCTCAAGAAAAAATTAGTACCTTAACTATAAAAATTGTATAAAAATTATCTTATTTAATTTTAACAAAGAATGTGCAATTTTGTTCGGAAAATGTCTTTGTTTCAGTTTTTATAATAAGTTTTTATATATAAGGGTCAAAAGTAGTGCTAAAATATACTTAATTCAAAGAACTATAGCCAAAGGCTTTGGAGATTTAAAAAGAAATTGAAACATGTCTAAAAGTATGCACAAAAAAAAACGTAAAAGATAAAGACTTAATCAGAGCTTTTCACAATCATAAATCTAAGAAAATGATCTTTAAGTTATATATTTAATTTACTTTCGTATAAGCTTTTATTTAAAGACAAAATCATTTGACAAACTCATAGTTTAAGTGAACTCACCCTTGATTGAGGTATCGAAACGGAATATCAACGAGCACAGCCCCAAAATCTCTTAATGATTTTAATTAACAAAGTTTACCCTCACATGCGCACGAACTTGACCAGCTTGCGGCTGCTCTTCCGGAGCAGCACCTTGCCCAGCGGCTGGCCAAAGCCCTCGAACTGCTGATAGACATGCAGCCCACGGACCACCGTCGCATGGACAACGCCCCTCAGCCGGCGGCCCGCATACGGTGTGGCCTTGGTGGCGGTAAAAAGCTGCTCTGGACCGGCAGTGAACTCTTCCTCCGGGCACCACACGCAGAAGTCCGCATCGTAGCCCTCGGCAATACGTCCTTTGAAGGCGGCCAGGCCGCAAAGCTGAGCGGGTTCCAGGCACATCAGGCGATGGATATCGGCAATGCCTAGCGGTGATCCTGGAAAGGTAAAAGGATACAATATACAGATTTGGAATTCTTAAGATATAGGTCTAAGATATAGTCTAAAAAATAATACTTTCGTGTTTAAAATCTCTTTAAAATGTGTCTAAAAGTATGCAATAAAAGTTTAAAATTTAAGAAATTTAAAGTTTTTTTTTTCACTTTATTTAATAAGGCATACGGAGTGCTATTTACCCCTTTGTGACCTTTATATCTAATCATTCTGCCCTAAATTTAAAGTAAAATCAAAAGCCTAATAATTTTGTTTGTCAAGTCTTACAAAGGAAATTAAGATGCTTTTCCTCGAAGCCCACTTTTAAGTCACAAATAACTAGTCCTGAGTTCCGCAAAACTCCACAAACACGTATTGTTGTCCAAAGGATGTGGGCTTTCAATTAAAATACGTTAAAAATAGTCCCCAACTTCTAGAAATGCACTGGAAATCAGGACTCCTATCAAGTGGGATGATATATCCTACATGGCCTGACTGCGTTCCCGGAATACCACATCCTACAAAGACTCGTTCCCTCCCACTTTACACCCCGTCCACAGTCGTATGCTTGATATTCCTTGTAAAAACTAATATACACTAATGAGCTGTTTACCCCTCCGGTTGGATGCCGTCCAGACAACGGGCAGGCTGAGCTGCAGGGTATTAATGCCTGGCCAGGCTCTCAGGAAGTCACCACGCCCCCGGCCACAGGTTAGGGCCCGTGCACCAGGCGTTGCCGGTGAATGATCGCTGCCAATCATCCGGATAGCTCCGCCCATTCTCAATGCCGCCCACAGCCGCTCTTGATTGTCTTGCTCTCGAACTGGTGGCCATGTTTTGAACTCCGTTCCGCACTCGGGTACTTCCTCGGCGGCCAAAGCCAGATAGTGCGGACACGTCTCCATTGTCAGCTGGCCGCCCTGCTGGCGGCACTCCTCCTCCAGCGGCAGACACATGGCGCTGCTCAGGTTGAGGACATGAATGCGCCGCTTCGGGTGTCGTCTGGCCAGGCGGCAGAGCAACTGCAGAGCTGTGACCTCCATGGCATGAGGCCGGGTGGCCAAGAAGGTGGTGTACTCCCGAGGAGATGCATCCTCTGCTGGTTGGATCTCCATGGGAGGCGGTAACTCAGCGTGCACCTGAAAAATAAAATATAATATATTTTCGATCTTGTTTTATATAGTAAATAAAACCTTACCGCTATTACCGCTTCTCCCTCATCCTGTTCCTCGGCCAATCGAAGAAGAGCTTCCTCCAGTTGGGCCTCGTTAACGGCGGGAAATTCCTCAGAGACGGGCGCCGCTGAGCCATACAGTGTGCACTGTAGACCCATAACACCGGCGGCCAATAGGGGCAACAATTGATCGCCATTGCTGGGTATAAGGCCGCCCCAGAAACCCACATCCACATAGATCTTACCCCGGGCCGTTGTCGTCTTGGCCTTGAGACCTGTCACGCTCACAGTGGGGGGGCTGGCATTGGTGGGTCTGTCAATGATGGTAGTGAAGCCACCGGCGGCCGCCGCCTTGGTGGCCGACACAAATCCCTCCCAATCCTTTCGTCCCGGCTCGTTAATATGGACATTGGGATCGATAAGGCCCGGCATTAGGACCAAGTCTCCAAAGTCGTACACCGCCTCTGACTCCGTGTTGTATAGATAGGTGTTGACCTCCTGCGGCGACCGCAGCACTGGTGAAAAACTATATATTTTTCTTGTTTTTCAAAACAGTAAAAGAAAAAAGGATACGCACCACGCCGTATGATGCCCTCGGTATCCACAATAATTCCGCCATGGATCAGGACATCGTCAGGACTGCCATCGCCCAGGAAAATACGCCGGCTGAGGAACAACAGATCCATTATGGTAGCGTTTGTCTACTGAGAGCGCAAACTTTTGGATGTTTGTGTTTTTTTTCAGATCAGAGAAACTATATAATAATCTATTTTCGTAGATCTTGAGAGGGCTTTTGGGCGAGAGGAGCTCCTAACGGAAAGTCTCCGAGTTTGGCTCTCTACTTTTCAATTTATTTGTTTATTAATAAACAGCTAACTAAACTTTTTTGCAAATCTGGCATCTCTATGATTATGATATGTTAAATGACTATCTAACATTTACAGTTGAAGTATTCATGAATTCATGTTCAATATTCATAATAAATAAAATAAATTCAAGTATTAATGATTTCATAATTTATATTTTTATTGTCAAAATAAATACATAAACAAAAAATATTTAAGAAATCATGAATTCTAAAATGTAAATTATTCAAGGATAAAAATACATGCATTCAAGAATTCAAGAAATCAAGAAACCACCAATTTATATTCAATATTTTAAAAATTTATGAATATTTAAGAACTCAATAATTTAAGAATTAATATATTTAAAAAATTATTAATTCCAAAATCTATGTAAAATATTCAAAGATAAGAATTCATGCATTCAATAATTCACCTATTCATGAATTCACGTAATCAGAAATTCACCAATTCAAGAATTTATGTTTAATATTTTTAAAATTGATAAATATTTAAGAATTCACGTTTTCATGTTCAATATTTTAGAGTTCAATAGTTTAAGAAAACTATATAAAAATCACCCAAAATTTATTTAAAATATTCAAGGATAAGAATTCATGCATTCAAGAATTCAGGTAATCAAAAGTTCACAAATTCCAGAATTTATGTTAAATATTTGTTTTTAATTTATAAATATTGAAGAATTCACGTATTCACGTTCAATATTTTAGAATTCCATAATATAAGAATACATTCGATCCCTGATCCTGAACGGTTCTAAGTTCCAAATAATATATACTTCGCCTGTTGAGTAATTGAATTTGCTATGGAACTTTGCCATCGCTGGCTCGTCAGGGAAAATAGAGAAGAAAAACAAAAGTGGGAAAAACTTTGTTGACCCACAGCGAAAAAGGCCAAAATCTGCTTAATGAAAATCTCCGGCACCCCCCAGCATGTGTGCGTGTGCAAGAGTGTGCGAGTGTGTTGGTTATTTTTTGGGGGGGGGTTGGCCTCAACTTTATTTAAGTGCTGGACGGGTCGCCTCGTCTGGCTTTTCCCGAAGTCCGTAAGTTTTTGAGATTTATTTTGTGTTTGTTAAATTTGTGAAAAAATTTTTAATTGGTGGCGCCTCCCAGCGGAAGCTTAGCAAACCAAAAAAAAAAAAAAAAACGCGCCCGTACAGAGAGAGACAACAAGTGCCGACTGGTCGCTGGGTAGAAGGGAGTGGGTGGGGACAAGACAAGAGCAGGCGAAAGCGCAAAACGAAAGCGAAAACAAAAACGAAATCGAAAAAGCAACGGGACCCAAACCCAAAAACAAACTGAAACCGAAACCAATAACGAGGCGCAACGATACGCATACATACACACCGGCTCCCCACATGTGTGTGTGTGTGCTTGGACGGACGAAGGGGTGCGAGGGTGGGGTGGGGTGAAGAGAGAACGAACGGAGAAACGAATGCAGGCGGACGAGCCGAGTGCCGAAAAGTTCCACTTGTTGTTGCTGCTGCACGGCGAGAAATAGTCGAGTGCCTTTACCTGGCAAGATCAAGGGAATTTAATAACTTAAAATTTTAGATATGATATAGCTCATATGGATAAGCTGAATTTAAATCGATTTTGAAAAATTGATTTATTATATCGTTGAAGGGTAATATAAGTTTAGTCCGAAGCTTGCAAGAGCAGTGAAGGAGTAATTTCCGACCCTTTAAATTATATATATGTATATTCCCGACCAGCATCAATAGCCAAACCTTTTTAGTCGGGGCCGAAAGAAAAAATTTGTCTGTCAATATTTTTTAATTTTCTAGGGGGTCCATTCGCTAAAATTTTACGAAATTTTAAAATATTACGATTTCTTGAATTTAAAATGTAGTATAATGATTTGTTAACCTGGGAAAACTAGCTCAGAAAAGCTTTCCGAATTGATTGCTGTTATCCCCATGGCAAAATGTAAAGGTACACTAATTTCGGTTTCCCGAAGTATTTATTTTCTGTTTTTTCTTTCATTTCAACTGAAAACTTCTTAATAGCCTGTTTTACTGGTTTAATGTTTACGACGATTATTAATTAAATTTTGATTTATGTACAAGGATATAGTAGATATATTTTATTTTAATTTATTATTAGGTTAACAAATAAGTACTTTTAAAATTAAACTTTAAACAGTTAACACCTAATAACATTTTGAAAAAATTATGTATAAAACAGGATATGACTCCTTAACTGGATTGCCAAACTTCTAAGTAATATTTTAATACCCTGCAGGTGCATAACTATAACTTAAAATTCTTTTATTTTTAGCGATAAAATCTAACATAGTATCAATTATTGCTCATTTGTTGTCACTTAAAAATAAAGATTTTTATGAAAATATCGATACACTAACGATATATAGATATTTTCTGTACAAAATGATTGCAAGGCGATTTTAATTATAATTTATTTTTATAAATTTGTCTTAATTTTTACATATATTACATATTACATATATTATAAATGTTTATAAACTTATGTAAGCACTGCTTGTAATTTAAATTGAAAACAAATTTATTTAATTAAATTGTAATTATTACAAATAAAAATATCCATTTAATTATTTACAGTGTGGCCGTCGGACGCTGTTGCTGCTGCTGCTGTTGCTGCGTCTGCCGCTGCTGGCGGATACACACACGCACACACTTAACACGCACACCACCAGAGCGTTGATGAGGCTGCAGCGTTCCTGCCGCCAGGACCACCTTCTTGCTTGCCGTTATCCTGCTGCCGAGCTCGAGACGATGTCCTGCGGGGAACTCGTCGTGCTCGTGTCCTGTCGGCTGTTGCTGCTGCTGTTCGGCACCGAGACTCGCATTCATTCCTGTGCTCATCGTCGTCGCTGCTGGCCGCACATCCTCGGATCGAGTCGAGTTGTGTTGAGTGGAGTTGAGTCCTCGTCCATAGCCTCTGCGAGCCAGGATTCACTGCTCTTTGGGCAGCAACGCGACAACAAGTTGAGCTCGGCTCTAACAACCAGTGACCACCGAGCATCACGATTATCAGCATCAACCATCTAGAGCTAATCCGTCGGCCTTTTTTTTCAAAATTAAAACACCGAGAAACCGATAAACTACGTTTTCGATAAATAATTGCAAGTCAATCGAAAAAATTATAACAAAGCGAAGAAATCAAACAAATCGAGTAAATCGATTAAATCAAAATCATCGAACGAAAGCCAACATTTAACGGTAAATCGAAAGTCTTATTTTACGCAATAAAAAATAAATGCAAAAAGCATTTAGGCAATTTGTTTGTTTGTTTGTTGTCTCTGTTTTTCTTCATAAAAGTGAGCGTTAAAATGCTGCTAAAAGTTGTTGCCTTTTTTTTTATGTTGCGTATTAAAAGAGTGTAAAAGTCATGTTTGTTACTTTGCTTTATTTATTTATTTATCTGTTTTTTTTTTTTGGCAAAACATAAAAAGAAAACAAAGTCCTGTTAAATCATAAATTCGATTTGCCAATTCAGTTCGGTTGTTGTTCTCGCCTCCGTTAATTGAAAAGAATATATATATGTATATATATCAGAGCTTGCAAAAAACTGTCGACCGTTTCTAGTTGTCTGCATATATCTGTCTCTCTCTCACTCTTTACGAAAAGACTCAGAGAGCACCCGTTCATGAGTTCTTGGAATCAGCTCGCGCGCGTTCAGAGCAAACTCGTTTTTTTCTATTCTGTTTTGTTTTGGTTGTCCCATGAACCGTGGTCAGTGAACAAAAGTCTTTTGCGTATGTATTGGAATACATTCACACGCATAGGCAAGCAAATCCTTAAACGTTTAGTTGCGATTTAAAAACAAAATTGTCTAAAACTTTTCTATTCTTTTTAATAGCATTTTGTTATATGGACACTTGTTCACAAAAATAAATAAATAAAAAAAAAAAAACAAAGGTGAAGACCGTTCGCGCTGAGCTGTTCGGTCCCTTGGTCTTTTGCTGGCTCTCTGTGTGCGAACGTTTCTCGTCCCGCTCTTTACGCACGGCTCATTGAAAGGCCGAAGCAAAAAGAGCTCAACGAAAAGCGTTCAACAAAAAACCGAAATGAAGACAGCAAAACTCCCTTGCTCTGAACGAGAGCGAGAGAGTATGATCTTTTTCGGTTTTACTCGCAACGAGAGCACAGGAAAAACCCCGTCAACAGTTATGTATTTGCAAGCTCTGATATATATAGACCCCCCCCTGATCCTGATTGATACCATTGTTGGTCAATGGCCAGGAACAGCGGCTATATAATCGAGTTTGGGACATCTTAATGCCAGCCTTTCAGCAGCAGCCGCACTTGTTTGCAGAATAACAGAAATAAATAATTGCAAGATTAATTTATCGAGTTTATTTTGCTTTACATTTATGAGTTTGAATAATGGAAATTTTCAATAAACAATAAACGCGTGTAGACTTTTCCCGATTCGATCGGCGGTATTAATTTTTTTGTCGTTCTTTTTTTTCCGGTGCAAAAAAAAAGAAAAATAAAATAAATAAAACGTAAAACTCAGCAGAAACCAATAAAACAGAGGCGGACACACGTCCAAGAAAATCCAAAGGAGGACGTCCCAGGACCTCGGAGTGGAAGCTAAAGTGTCAAGTAAGCAAACATTTAATTTTGATTTATTATTAATTTCCTCACGCACACCAAGCACACGTATATATATATATATACTTTATATACCTTATATAAGCATGAAAGGTGGAAAGCAACAGATAGCCCCCAACTTGACGGCTTAATGCTGGTTATTATTTTCACCACCTGCAGCTATGGCATAAATAATGCAAAAAGGCAACGGCGGCGAGCGGGCAAATTATTGTAATTA